AATAATTTCTTAAGAATTCATAAAGCGAACTCCAACGACATACGGAAGGCGGGTGCATCCAGAGTTTAGGATGAACCAGCAGATTGTTTCAGTAGCTATGTAGAGTCCTTAAAAAAAGTGAAATCGAAAATAATTTCTTCAGCTTTATTGCTAAAGATAAGCTTCAGAATACAATATGTATAGTTCTCCAAGAATTCATCAAGCTAACTCCAACGACATACGGAAAGCGAGTGCATAGATAGTTTAGCATGAATCTAGCATTTTGTTTCGGCCCTCATGTTTTTAAGGAAAAAATTAAAATAAAAAATAATTTCTTCAGCATACTTAGTAAAGATAAGCCTCACAGTACGATATGTCCAGTTCTCCCGCAATTCACGAAGCCAACTCCAACGACATACGGATGGCGGGTGCATCCAGAGCATAGCATGATCTCGCTTTCGTTTCTCTATTTGCAGTGAAGAAATGACAAAAAAAAATAAAAAATAACTTCTTCAGTCAGTTGCTACACTGAGCGGTTGTTCTTTTCTATTGTCATATAAGGTTTTATAAAAATTAATTTTTTGCATATTTTTCAGTCGAAAGTATTGTTGTTGTCTATCTAACTATATATTCCTATTGTCTCATCACTAACTATATGTAATAGGATAATGATTAAGAGCATTTAATGAATTCCTTTTTGTCGTTCATAGAGATAGAAGATGAAGGAAAGACTGAATGAATGAGATTGAGAGAGAAAGAAAAAGAAAGAGAGAGAAAGCGAGAGAGAGAGAAAGAGAGAGAGAGATATGTGGATGAAGGAAGGAGTCGAGGAAAGGTAAGTTTCTCTCTCATTTTCATTTAGTATTTATGAATGGGATTCTCTGATTCTCTCCTAATTATATTATATTTCAACATATTTCTGCTCATTATTCTTTATTGTTTTATGATTTTCTTTTGACCGAAGCAGTCAGTTGCCCTCATATGGCTTTAATGGTTACAAGCTTCCTGCAAGCGTCCCTCAATCCTCTTCCATCTTTCTACCAGCAGCTACACCATCTGTTTCCATCTGACTTCGCGCACTATCCTCATTTGCAACTTTTTATGATTTTCGTTCGCTCGTATACATCACATCGTTCGCTCTTTGTTTTCTTTGTTTTTTCTATTTTTTAATTTCATCTAATTTACCATTTATGGACATGAAATTCTCTTTTATTGGATGCGGTCAATAGGGCTTTTGGGCGGTAATTTTATGCATTTGTTCGCTGACCGAATATGGTTTGTCCTTGACTTTTGTATTTCATCTGATGAATAGGAAGAAAGTGTTTTTCATTCTCTTTCTTCCATCTCATCAACATTCTCATCAGCTTTTCATTCTTAAGAGATGAATGAAGCAGTAGAATCGACAAAAAAACGTCTCATTCTGCTTCTTCTGCTACTTCTTCTCATGATTTTTACTTTTTTTTTTATTTTCATTCTTTTTTACTTTTTTTTCTGTCGAATCTCCATTTCCTTGTTTTCTTTCTCGTTCACAGTTGTCTATGGCTATCGTGTTAGCACACAATACATGGAGGAACAGAAGAGGAAAATGATGTTGCAGCATGTCAGAATGAGAGAGTAACAGAGAGAGAAACAGGGGTCAATTAGAACGAACTGACTGGTTAGTTGTGGACTGGCAGAAGGCCTGTTGGTTCTTTGGATCATATGACCTCCTATGCTCTTTCTCTTCTACTCCCCTATTTCTCCTACCAGCCTATGTCTACTCCAAACCCTTCTCTCTCTTCTTTCCCGCATCAAAATCTTGCTCCCTTCCTACTACATTCTGCTTCTCTCTCTCATAAAGATATGTCTAACATGCTAAATTCTTATTTTTGCATCAGAGTCTTGGATGAAAGTTTCTTGATGTTTTCCTTTCTGGTTGTCTGACATGCTCCCATTGACTGGATGGTTTAGTTTGGTAAACTAGATGTAACCTTGCATAATTATATGTGAAAGCTTGGGATATTGTGAGTGTGTGTGAATATGTGTAATATATTAACTGAAGGGTATCTGATGTCAGAATGGTCATCCGAAAGATTTCCTCTTTGGGATTCATCCATTCTCTTTCCTACTCTCTCATTTTCGCTTTATTCTCTTAGATTAAGCTTCATCCATATCTCTCTCTTCTCACTCCTGCTCTAGCTCACCCTCTCCATCATGGATGTCCCAAAGATCATTGGGTTGTTCGGTATCTTCTGCTGAGATCAACAATCATTCACAACATTAAGTAAGTTGATATGCAGTGGCTTTATCTTCATCAAATCTAGCCAATTCCTTTCGTTCTTCTTCTCCACATTGGAGCTTTTGGTTCTTTAGAAAGTCAAATCCTTCAAAACCTATGTTCTATTAGTGACTCTCCCACCCTTTCTCATTCTCTCTCTCCCTCTTCCTTTCAACATCTTACTCTCTATCGTTCGTTGCTCTCTCTCTCTATTATTACCTCTTTATTCTATACAGTTTCCATATGAAACAATTTCTCATTCAAGGACAATCACGTGTCACAACATTTCAATTTCCTTCCTTTTACTCACCCTCCCCTTCCCAACGTCCCTTCCAAATTCTGAAATTGAAGGAAAAAAAATATTTTTTTCTCATCTCCAATCCATTTGCATTCTGAGCTCCATCTTCTATGTGTGTCTGTATGTTGTGTGTGTGTTCCAGTTTTCATTTAAATGAAAAAAGAAATTTTTAATAAAAAAAAATAAAAATTTTTCTTTTCATCTCTCCCAAATTCATTTTCCAGTTCTTGGCGTATGGCCAGAAATCCAAAAATGTTTTCAAATATTTGTTTTCTTTCTCATTTTACCTTCTTTTTTGTGTGCGTGTTGCCTGTCACCTCACTCTCTCTTAGTTTCTACATTGCTTAACAAAAATTATGTAGGAAATGCAAATTTCAGCTTAAATCATTCATCATCTCTTCTTCTTCTTCTTCTTTTCCTTTCCCACACACATAATGAACCTGTTTAGACAATTTGGAGATTGTCTAATCCCCTACTGATTATCAGCTTTTCCTTTCCACCATTTGTTTCATCTTTTTCAACTGCTGTGACAGATACTATGTAAAGATTCGAACATAAGAGTTGACCGCAAAAGAGTCCGATAGGCTCTAAGCACGCAAAAGCCAATAAACAAGCTTTCAGCCATGTATGCCTCTCATCCTCTTCTTCTTCTTCTCATCTCCTCCTTATAATATTTAAATTTTTGATGATATTTATCTTCCATATACCTTTTTCAGCATTATTTCTGATTCCTCTTTTGTTTTCTTACATATTCAGCTTCTTACTACTGCTTTTCCGTTTTGCAATTGCTCGTCAACACACACGGACACACACAAACTCATCGTCGTCGTTATCCAATTTTGTCTTTGAAGTAGCCAAGATTCGCTACTCTTCTCACTTCTTCATTTTTTGTCTTCAACAATTCATCATTTAACTTCTTAAACTGATTCTTGCTTGTAAATGAAGCTTAAAAGGCTCATCTGTCGCAGCCATCACGTGTGTCTTTCTCTGCTTCTGCCTTGTTTTTGGAAATTTCAAATTTCAAAATTTTTCAGAAACAAAAAAAAAATTGCAAAGAAGAAGATGAAACACAACTTTCAGCTTTAACATAACATGATCAATTTAACATATAATCATCTCTCATGTTATGCATAGTTCATTGCTTTCATTCATATTTTCACTTTCTTTTTCTTTTCTTATTTTAAATGCTCAAACATTGTGCTCTTTTCTTTCTCTTCCTAGCTGCATCTTCACAACTTGAGAAGTATTCGATTCTCTATTGACTTTGCCATTCGGTCACACGTTGTTAACGTTCAACATCAAGTCTTTTACTTTCAATTTGAAACAGAAACGCAATTGGAATGAAAAACGTTAAGAGAGAGAGAAAGAGAGTAGAGGAAAATGAATCTGATGATGATGATGATGATGATGATGATGTAGTTGTTGATGAGAAGGTGGTGGAGAAGAAGAAGAAGACTATGAGGATGAAAGTATTATATTATTATATTTAAAATATATATGTATATTATAACATCTTGTTGCTACAATAGATGAAGCTAGATATCCTCTCTATCCCATAGCACTACTACCACACCGAATATCCATTGTCTTATGCAAATATCATTCAATATTGAACACTTTTATTTATTATATCTTTTCTCATTTACATAATATGTACGTGAGATTTGCACGTGTTGCACGTGAATAACCTATATGCATTCATTCATTTCATCCACATGCATTCATACAGAACGGTTGTCAACCATTATAACACATCATAACTAATCAATATGCATCATTAGCATGTTTATACATATCTCTATCTAATATACTATATATGATATCATAAATACATTTATATTCATTCTTATATATAACATTTCAAACCTTGTTTTTAATGTAATTCATTATTTATAAACACATTTTCAAGCAGACGTCTCACTATGGCCTTTCTAAATAAATTACGTTCAACTAAGAAAAGCAAAGGAAAGCTTCTCGAAGAAGTTCAGCCAACAACATCTGAAGGTTCGTTTAGCCATATTTGATTTATAGATCTAATCCACATCAATTAACTCTCTATATAAATACTCTAACTTACCATCCAACACCCCATCACATCATTTGAATGACCGAAAATGTAATTTTTGATTTTCTAATCCGTCTCCAGCTTCTCTCGTATTCTCTCTCTCTCTACTTCTCCTCATTCTCATCATTGTTCTATGAAAATGATTGAAAAGCGAAAAATGTTTTTAACAATTTCAAAGCTCAATTTCATCTGAATAGCATTGGTTATTGCTTGTGTTAATTGGATGAAGATGAAGCTTCCAAAAGGAAATCAATGCTTCACATCATTCGTTATCAATGGCTTCATTCATTTCCCCTAAAAATCATTTCATAGTTTCAAAAAACTTTTGTTGTCAAACATCTATTTGCTCAAGAACCATGTCTCTTTTCATTTCTCATAGTCGTTGTCTTCTTCTTCTTCTTCTTTTTCTTCATCTTCTTCTTCGTCTTCGTCTTCTTCAATCTACTTGTGCTTTCATTGTTTGAGCTTCAAGTTTTACTCTTGTAAGCTTCATCTCTATCGCATTTTATATATTCCATGATTTCCGTAAACGTTGAAACGATGTCTTCGTCTTCATCTAATTCTGAGGAGAATCTGGCAATACTTGAAGATGATCAGTTATCGGACAATATTACAGAAAAGCAACTCACCTCTACTGTTATTCAACCTGATTCTTCTGATTCAAACAACAAAATGTCGTCAACTCTAACGGAAGTTCATGAGCTTACTCAGCCAATTGAATCAGCTGAACAGTCTGACAAAGATAAGAACGGCAATGTGGATAGTTTACCCTCATCTGCCGAGCTGCCGGACTGTTTCAAAGCTTTCAAAAACCTTCCAACTACTTTCAAGGAATTTTTCAATCAGTCATCTGATGACTATAAGTATGTTAATGGCTATCATATTCAAATGCTTAATGCCCATGTTTAAGAGAAATAGCTAAATGCTGTGGTCTGGCAATCGTTTCCCTGATTGGTCTCTTCATTTCGGTTGTCCTACTACGTTTCGTTCGCCGCGTTGTATTCCCAGATGATGCCGGCTGGTTCTGCACGTTAGTTCCTTACCTTTTCTACATTATTCTTCAGAATATTCTCGTGCGAGACTTGAATATTTCTTTTTTCAGTTATTTCGCTGGTCCTTTCTGTCCTCTTTTCGATGCTTTATGCGCTGAACAGGAAAGCTATGTGAATGAACTTTTTAAGCAAGTCAACATCGTCTCAAATGATACTTACAATAGTCAGTTTCTTCTGCTCATTTGAATACCTCAGCTTCATCTTCAGCTTTCAATGGTTTCTTCAAGTCTGTGTTCGATGGTTTCCATGCATTGTACACAATCTTTTGGGCAATTTTTGGTGGAGCTATCGATACTGTAAGCATATAAGCACCTTCCAATTATTATAATTTCTATTTTTAAGATTTTCAAAGGATATGCTGAACTTCAGGAGAATATGGGAGAGAATATATCTCATTTGGTGACTTTTGTCAAAAACTCCATCAGCCATATCTTACGTTTTGTGTTATTGGTCGTTCAAACGGTCCTCCATTCATTCTTTCAATGCTTGTCTTCCATCAAAAACAATTTTTCACCTAAGCCAACTTCATCTTATTGGTAAATGACCTCAATTATATCAATTATATGTATATATCCATGTATAGGAAATTCATTTTGTACATAAATATTCTTTTTTTTTACTTTTTTTATTTGTCAATCTATACAACCGACGCATCCGAGAGCAATCGGAATTCCATGCTTCTGGATGGATAATCCGTATATGATTTGGCTTTGAGGGGTATAAGTAATTTTGTCAAAAGTTCATTTCCTAAACATAGAGTGAATGAAACATACAGAGGTTGTGAATGACTAACAAATGGTTCTCGCCTATCCATCGTTTGTATTTCATATTCATCTGATTGAAGTGAGTAAAGAACATATCTTGAACTCTGAACTATGATAGTTGAACTAACAGATAGCTCAAGCTTAGAGCTCATCATATGAATATCCAATCATATCGTTATGATAGTATATGGAATGATATGATTAAGGATCATATGATTGTTTGTCATATATCTCTGGAGAGCTTGATAGTTCTACGTCTATCCATATATAGTGACGGGGGAACATTCATTTCAAATTCTCTAATTATATATAATTTTTGCATGAAAAGGTGTCGAGCATTAATAATAAACGGAAACAACCTGTATGTGGGTTTGAAGAAAAAAACTTCAAACGAGCTCTTATGTTCATTATTCTTGCTTTGTTCAAGTAACTTGTTGTCATCAAGAAGTTCTGATATCATTCCTGGGTCAATGGAATGGATCGTTGTCCAGATCGGTATGAGCCTCCACCCATGTGGCTTCAATACTTCTCCATCAGCATTTTCCTTCTTACACTTCCTTCCTCAATATATACCTTGTATCTCATATTGTTAATTACTCCTCCACATACGGATCGTCTTTATAAAATATATTTGATTATCTATCATGTAGCAGCTTCTCTCTATTCGCTCATAAATGCGCTCTCGGTATGCTCATATGCTGCTAACTCGAATATGCTTCTGTCCATTTAGGGATATGTGCAGTACTTTCCCGCATTACTGGTTGTTGAAACAGGAATGTTAAGATTTAATTCTATTATTTATATTTTCGTTGATGTATGTCTGCAAGTGTTAGTAGTTTCCTTAGGTGGAGTTGTTATCGTTCATCGTTTCATTATCGTCATCTATGGTCGTGAGAAGAAGAAATTTCAAATTCTGTTCATTCTGCTAACTATTATATTCCTCACACCTTTTACAATAATTTCAATTATTTGTGCTAAACTATACGATGACAAGAGTGCTGTTCAAAACCTTCTTCGAGTAAGCATACTTCCTTCCATCCATTAGGTAATCAGTTCTCTTCCTCTTCAGGACTGTCCACACTTCAAGCCTCTAGTCGATACAACTGATTTTTTGTATATAAATGATAATCGACTATTCAACTCAGTTCTTGTAATTCTTGTTTTCACAACATTCATCATCATCTTCACCTTACTGGGACTCATTGCGTATTTTGGGTATTTATTCAAAGAGAAGTTTCGCTTGTGCTCTGAGACCAAAAGACGTTTGCAATATCGTCTGATGCTTAATTCAGCTCTTTCACTTATGTCAGTTATCTTGTTACATCTTTGAGCATCAATGAGATTTCAGGATTCCCTCCTTCTCTCATGGAATCCCAGCTCTTTTAGGTCAAGCACTTATGCTGTTCAAAATCTCAAGTTTACAAATATGTTTGATCCATCCAAGTAACTGCATTACCTTTCTCCATTTCAGGGACATCTTCATTGATATGGATTATCGGATCATTGCATGGAATTTTGAACTGCATCACTTTCATAACTCTGAATGACTACTATCGCTCGAAATTCAAGAAAGGTTTCCTTTCTGATTGTTCGTCCAAAACGATTCTGTTCCTTCAGATGTGGATACAGTAGTTGAAGCAATGAGGATATTGTCGAAATCGCAAGTATACTCAACCAGCTAGATGCTCATAATCATCATATCTTCATGTTATACTGATAATCTATATGAACAAGAGGACATATATTTTGAAAATTCTGATCGGAGTTTGACCAATACAGGACGATAACATTAACCAACCACCTGATATCATAATGAATCTTTCATAATCAATTTGAATTTTGAATAATTCAAGAATCATGAAATCAGCTGTCATTTTTAAAAAAACAAGTAGTTCATCTCCTTCATTTCAATAAGTAAAATCGGATTGCTGTTGTTATTCTAGAATGAAGTCAATTGCGTAAGGACTACTGAGAACTGGCGCCCATAACAGAGAATCATGTTGTGATTGAAGTGTTAACATCATTCCCATTGGAAATGCAGTTTTCATATTAGAATAGAGTGCAAAGTACCCAATTGCTACTTCCTGCTCGTTTAAATAAGTTTTCAAAGTTTGAAAATAATGAGAAATGGAGATAAGCGGACTGATATGCATTCTTGTAATGCTCAACGTGACCATCATCCTTAGTCATAGCGAACAGAGAGACAGAGAGAGATAGTGAGTCAAGTTTATGTTTTACAAAATCTATTCAGTTAGCTGTAGTCAGTAAGGAACGTGGAGTTCTAGCTTTTCAAATACTTCATCCTTCATCAACGATTGAAGCATAAGCTCTGGCAAAGCATTACCCATATATATGAACAATGAAAATATAAGCAATCAATGAAAGTCTACATTGCACCTGAGATTAATATTTGCTGAAAGATCATAAACGAAATCCCGAATGCAAGGCATCAGAGCTTATTGAACAAGTAAAAGCTTAGGAGAATGAGCAGAACCTTGTAATTGAACGTTGAAAGTTTGATCTGATAACAAGCATAGATCATCATCACCAAGTATGAATGATTCTTCTCACGATGAGCATTACAGATAGTTCAAAAACAATGTTTTTTCCTGTTATAAAGAGCAACGTCATGCATTATTTGATTTGCTCAGTTTATTCTGTAGACCAAGAGTCTGATAAGAATTTTTATGATCGAAAATCAATATAACAAAACGTTATTTCAATCTACGTTTTCTGAATCACTCGCTAATCTATTTTCTCTCCTCGCGCATAAGAGCACAAGCTCATTGCGAAACGCATAATTATTCATTTTTTCGTTCTAAACATATATAAATATATATTGATATCTTCAGAAAACTGATCATTAACACTTCATCATCATGTCTGCTCAACGTTTTCATTGGCCGGTGAGAATCTATTCATGAATACAATGAACCTTACCTAACCTATTACAGACTATGCCATTTAGTCGTGAAATTCACAGCGGATGCGCTATAAACACTTCAATCATCATTAAGGCTAAGCCTTACTCGGATCCTACTAGGTAACTCTACTCAAAGAGATTTTCAAAAATCTTTCCCAATTTTCAGGAGTTTGGTTATAGATTTAAAAAGCGAGAAAGATATCGCATTACATCTCACCATACCTGTCAACAAACGAGGAAATGTAAGTGTTAACTGGTTATCCCTGTAAATGATTTTGTTTTAAAGATGGCCATCAACTCTCGACTCAATGGCAATTACTCGAGCGAGATCGAGAAACCAATCTTTCTAGCAGTAAAAGAGCCCTTTGTACTTCATATTCGAATGAATCAACATGCTGCTGAGGTTTGAATAATTTCACTTAATCAAACATCTTTCTCTAGATTTACTATAATGACGCACACATCGCTGACTTCATTCATCGTGTTGATCCTTTAGAAGTTAAATCACTCTCAATTGAAGGACCTATCATAATCGAAGAAGTTGCATTTAACCCACCACAAGGTAACAATGGTTTCTTTTTCCTTCAATTACCTCAACTACAGGAGCTTCACTCGATCCTCTACCATCTTATGAAGAAGCTTTCAAGAACTCACTCCCACCCACTACAAGACCAGGAGAAGGTAATCATCATTCCACGTTCATACATCTTTTTGAAAATTGAAAGCTTAAGCATTGAAAAGACTCGATAACTTTTCTTTTTCTTCCATTGTTATTCATACTGTTTTTACAGGAGCTTCATCATCTCGACCAAGAAACCCAACAACTATTGCGGGAGGAACAAACCCTTTCTCATACACGGCTGGTGAATTACCACCCAAGCCCAAGACAGAAATTGTTAGGATTTCACAATGACAGTTATAAAATAAAAATAATTTTCAGTCCGAGAAGAAGCCTCCTTATCCTGAAGAGAACCCAGGACAGGCAGTTCGTGTACAAGCAGGATTACAAGGACAGGCAAGTTATAACACACAAGTTGTCCAGGTAAACGAAACAACATGAAATCAATCAGAAGCATACTCCTTTAGCCTATGCCTCAAGTTCAGCCACAGCCCCAGCCACATACTCAAGCTCAACTCCAACAACAACCTCAAATGCAGATTCAGCCTCAGCCATATGGACAGAATATCCCACAAGGTTACCCGAATGGTCAGAATATCCCACACGGTTATCCGGGAGCTATGGGTAGTGGGTATCCTCAACAACCAATGCCGAGTCAGATAACCACAGTGCCCCCACCTCAACTGCCACCATACAATGTTTATAATCCATACACGGAGAGACCAACAACGGTATCAGTTAGGATTTCAACTGAGATGTAGACATGAAACTTTAAGATTGTTCAACAGCAGGCCCCTGAAACTACAGTTGTTTACCCTCAACAGACCATCATTCAACAACCATACGTTGTTCAACCTCAAATCTACCCTTCAGGTAAGGACCAATGAGATAAGAATGCGAAGGAGACTCATTAGAAGCCACTAACTTCCCGTTCTTTAATAATTTCTATTTTTCAGTTTATGGCTATTCTTACCCAACATTTTTCTACGAAGGAGGATATGTAAGTTGATCTTCATCCGATGTGAGTTACAAGGTATTTCAGGGCCATCATCATCATCATCACGGACACCATCATCACCACTGCTAAAAACCCCTGGAAAAAAAGCAGCAGTAATCAGTAAAGGCTGCACCCTCATATGTATATAAATAAAATTGGTTAATGTAACTTTATATTAACAAGGTGTTAGAAAAAAGAACCTTATTCGGTGTTAAACACAGGACACAATCATGAAGGTAAACAGGAAATATATAAATATGATGAACAAGTACAAAGTACAGCGAATTCTATTGAAAACAAGATGATATAACAAGATGAACCAATGAAACAAACGAGTATATTCTAAGACTTTGGAAGAGAACTCTTTGAAGTTTCTCTATATTACAAGCTATGATCTTCCTTCTCCTTACGTGGAGTGCCAGGAGTCTTCTTGGGGCTAAAAACTAAATGAACTTTCGGACGTTCACGGAACTGAAATTCCGAATGCTTGATAAACCTCTCCACTGTTCTAACCTTTTTTTCTTCTTCTACACTAGAACCCGAGTTAGATAGAAAAGATTCTATATGTGATTTCGCGGTTTCGCAGTGTCTTGTGTTTTGTCCGATGATTTCGACTGGGAACTCACCATCCTTTTTGGATTCGGTATGTAACTAAGAATATGAATGTAAGAGATATTCTCTCTCCTCTATACTTACTGTTATTGAACATCCAGTAGCGTCTTCAATACGTTTCTTATTCACACCACGTGTTCCTATCAAACGTGGAGCATCCGAAGAGCGGACCATGAACATCAAACGCTCCTTTCTTCGAGTTCCACCGATTCTAACTTGGGAGACATCGTTGGTAGTTTCTGTTGGCGATCCCTGTATAAGAAGATGAAGTATGAAAAAATGGATAAGAAGCAAAAATACTAGAGATGGAGCTCTTTCAAGAGTTTGAGGTTCTGCTGTGCCATAATACCTCGAGAACGGATCTTGCCAGGCAGAAGGACTTTCCGGAGCATCTAAATGACTGTCTGGAATATTTTGAAATTAGGTAACAAACTTTATGATTCTCTTACTATTGCGTAAACGAACGTTTTCTGGCTCTAAAGATAATTCTTCGACTACGGAAAATTGCTGAAACATTCTTTCTATCATTGATCGGGCGTGGTTAACAGATTCGATAGGACCAAACCAACTGACAGCTCCATTTGATTCAATCTATAACAGAACTTGTGTCTTCTTAACAGGTAAACGAACATTACAATAAGGTCTGCTACTCCCGATTCACGAAGGAGAAGATGTTTGAAGAAAGCAATCAGAGCTGCTTGATTCACAGAATATTGAACAGTTTGACTATGAGCACATAGTTGATTTAACAGAGAAACTCTCATTGCTCTGAAACGCTTAAATTGTAGAAAAATTTAAAAATAAAACAACTTTTTCATATCGAAATCGTGCCATGATCTTTTCAGCGAGTTTTCAATGCTGAGAACGGAAGTTGATTCTTCTGTTGTTATGGCAATACAATTTTCCTCCAAATGAAAACCTGCACACCCAGTATCTTCGAACGATGATAAGGCCTTACACCCTTCTTTTTCTACAACAAAAAATGATTATTTACTTTTATCTTGACCACCTTTAAGAAAACGCAAAAACTCTTTCGATGCTGGTACGCACTCTGTCAGTGGCGTACGAACAGACATGGGTGGCGATATCATTAGCTGTTCTACAAAAGATAAACTGAAAGTGAAAACTCTTTAAGAGAAGCAGAACGAAAAGAAAAAGATAAACGGAAATCTGAATATATGTTAATTTTCTGGCCACTCGATGTGCATTTATGCCGGAAGCTATCGCGGTGAAACCATTTAACATAACGAAATGGTGAACTTGCACTATATTTCGAATGAGCATTTTCAACAAGTTTTGATCTCCGTGTCAGGACCCCGTTCTCATGGAAATTTCAAGTTTGAAGAATTTAGAAATTTCCTTAAATTAAGATTGTTTCAGCTCGTTCGTTTTTGGAGTGGTTGTTCATTAGGAAGTACTGTATCATATATATGAGTTACAAAGATGTAAGTTTCTCTCACTGTTTTTTTCTGTTTCAATAACTGTAGAAAGGTTGAAGCTTCGTCACTCAAAATACAATACCTCTTTCATATGATCGTTGCTGAACTTATATCAGAAACGTCCGACACGAAGAGAGCTTCGTTCACCCACAGCACAATCACAGTAGATATGCAAGAAGAGGAAATGTTCGAAGCCTGATGAGCATTTCATTCTAAGATCTGAGTAGGTAATTGGTGCGGTTGTGCGATCAGCTTCAACCGCTCAACATGAGCAGTAATAGAAAATGAAAAATCATCATAGGTTAATGAATCAGCTGGTTAGAGAAGCTGTCAAACTTGTTGTTCTTGAATCTGAAAAAGGTTTTAGATGCGAAGAAAAGACTTATACTTCAATAAACTCTATTGATTCCTATGCTGTTGTTAATCCTAATGTTTCTCATTATTTGTTTCAATTCATCTGGAAACTTAGTGGTAGGTATCCGTCAAACAAACTTAGCACTACATAAAGTACAATATTTTCGTTTTTGTTGAACTTTTGGAGTTTTTCCTATATGATGATGATGGTGATGATGATGATCTGCTTGTTGCAAGAAGCGAACTTGGAATCCTGTGTGGGTATAGTTTAATTGTTCTTTTCTCCTTGTTTGAGCATTTGTTTGTTCTGCCAGAGGTGTCAGTAACATCATCTCATCTTCGAGGTGGAAGGTGCCACACTCCCATATATATTCAATATGTTATAACACATGTTCCTTGTACTCATCATCATTGCCCATCTACAACAATGACCTGAAATTAGATCTTCGATTGAGCACATTCATTTCCTAAATAGGCACTTCTTTAGGAACAATAGGAAGACATTTTGATAAATAAATGCTGCTTAGATAAGAAACAGCATGAAATCCATATTAGTAACACAGAACCTATCTCTTCGGAAATGAGCTATTCAGATGAAAGTGTATACAAGTGCTCAATGCATCTGATTTATGGGAATGAAAGAGAGATTGTTCAAAACAGAATGTATTGAAAATAAGTTTCTTAAACTGTACTTGTTCCCCTTTCGTCTCTCTATTTGTAAATAGAGCACGATTCGTTTTCGAGTTAATGGGTCTTTTACTAAATTTGTACTGCTGAGTTCTCTCTTCTTGTGATTTTTTGCAAGGAGTGATGAGTATGGACGATTAGCAATTTAGCTCAGAAGAGAACTCTTTGTAAGTTCTGAGTTCCTTTGTTCATTCTATCTCCGTTCAACAAATCAAATGAGAATAGAAGAAGGATGAGGTTGGAAATAGGATCAGACTTGAATGGAAATGAAGAAAGCTGTTCTAACGATGAGAGAATGTATGCTCTCTTAGCTACAAACAACCTTTATATTAAAATAAATAATTTTTTTGTGCCGAACAAGGAGCTATTAGCCATCTTCATCCTAATAAGGATGAGTTTGGCTCCTATGAAGGAGTGCGTGCGTGTGTATGTGAATGTCACTTCCATAACAGGTGTTAGATGAAGCTAAAGGTAGCTATTGTTGCGTACAAGCAATGTTCATTCCCTCGTTCACGATGTGTAAATGGTCTCATCTGACAACAGCTTCGAACAAATTGTGCGAAACTGAAAGGAAACAAAACTGACCAACATTTTCTTGTTTTGTGACAAACCTCAAAAATCATTTCTTTTGCTCTTTTGCTCAATTTTTTTTGGTCGTTTTTCCTCGTGTGCTGCTCGTTTGCGTTGTGATGATGTGTTGTTCGTTGACTGACCCGAATGAATAAAGAAGAAACAGGCTCAGGCTGGTCCAAGTTGCTCAAGTTGCTAATTAGGGTTAATCCTTATGATTGGATAGTATGAGGAATCTTCTAATGATATGAATGTTACTTTTCATCTGAATAGCCAGTGCACAAAAGCTTTGACAGTCGTTGATCTTTTAATCCGCAGGTTTATTCAAGTTTCATCATTAAAAGCTCTGCAGGATTCTGCTCTGTCTACTAGTCCATTCTCATCCTCTAGTCCTCTCTTTGTCTCATTTTCTCTATCTCTCTATCTATCTCTAACTCTCTCTCTCTCTGTGTATCTCTCTATCTCTCTCTCTCTTTATTCTTCTGACTACATATAATTACGAATATGATAATCCTCATGAAATACCTTTAATATATAATGTCTTAAATTTCAATAAAACAAGCTTTCTCCATCTATCTTACATTCACTAAATCAGCTTATCTTTCCTTTTTCACATTTTCTCTTCTTCATCAAAGCATTTTTCAGCGACATCGACGATGAACAGAAATAGTGGGCGGAGCTAAGTAAACTCAAATGCTTCTCCTGCTTTTACTTCACAAGGCCATTGGGGCGGAGCGTACGTTTCCTCGTTCAGCCATCCCCCTTTTCAAGACTGACTGACATTCAAAAGAGAAAAAGAGTTAGAGAGAGAGAGAATGAGAGGGAGGAACCCCAACCTAAACATCTACTAAAGGTTGAATGATTTTATATTTGAATTTTCATTAGAATGTATAACATGTCGTCTTTTCGTTATATATGTTTTCAATTTCTTCAATAACCTTTATTTCGTTTAGAATCTTGAAAAAGTTCACAAATTCCATATTTGTCTTCTGATTATGGGACGTTTTCTGTTTGCTACCATTAGCCTTCTAAGCTGTTGTCTCATATCTGGTAAGTTCAACACGTTCATTCATCATTCAACTACAATTTACTTTTTATTTTCTTCTTTTTTCTATTGTTATTCTTTACATATTCATTAATTAGCTTTTCATCTCTTACTTAGAGTTGACCCTTGTTTGAACAGTTTTTGGTGTGAACAAGCTTTACCACTTTACTCGTCAGCTTCTTTTTTGTTCTTTCAATGAAGCCGACAAAACGTTGGACAGACTGCTGTTACAGACATCTTCTTCTGTTACTTTTGCCCTTTTTTCTTTTCTTCTCTGTTAACCATTAAAGGTATCTCAAATCTCTTCCTGCTATCAAAATGACTCAGGAAGATTTTGAGTAAACACTTTACGTTTTCTGGTCATTTCGGCTTCTATCATCACTAATCCTCCTATCCGGTTACAGTAATCTTAAAAAGAAACACAAGCATGTAGAGACTGAGGTTAAAAATTCGTTTCTTTCTCTTCTCATCTGTTTCTCTCTTTCTCTCTCAAATTACCTCGTTTTGTAAGGTTTTTGAGAGCAACAGTAATGTCAGCAGACTGTAGCGAAAACAACGAAAAAGCAAATCGGCCGACTGAAGAAAATCATCTCCGAAATAATCCGATTGACATTCATAATCCATCCCTGCTAATAGTCCTATTGGTTATTGTTTTTTTTCTGTTTCCTTATAAGTTTCGAGGAACAAAAAAAAACTTTTTTTTGTTTAAAGTAAGGAAGAGCAGGAGTGGTAGACAGAGGGATATAGAGATAGTGAGAGAGAGAGTATGTGTATGTGTGTGTGTGTGTGTCTGTTACATGTTGGTATATTTAGCATAGTTAACCCGCATACTTTCATATACTTATCTAAACGCCAGATGTAACTGATGGTCTGTGTATTATTGATACAACAAGAGGATTTTCTTGTTTATTATAAAAATTATTCAAATAAATGTTGTCATGTTGCTGAACCTTCGTTCTCAAATCAAAACAGCTTTTTCCCACGTTTAGTATGTTTCAATGCTGTATAGATTTAGAATTTTGAATGTTCCAAGAGATGGCCAAGAGCTAAAAACGTTCGGTCATAATTTGCATAATTTCCTGTTTTCTCTTGAGGTCAACATGTATTCGAAACATATGTTTAAGGATGTTTCTCTAACCTAATCATATTATGAAAAACTCTCGTCTACACAACATCTATCAAGCCACAATTCATTTTTATTTTGGTATGAGAGGAGTCATTTACTTTTCTTTTTTTTTCTGTTCTTCCTTCATCTCATACTTGTTTGAATTTCCGGGGCTGTCATATGAATCAGCTGCTGGTCGACATCGTTATGACGACTGGACGACATCATGTCGCCAAAATAAAAGACTAAAAAGCCTCTGGAGTCATAGAAGTCATAACGAAAAAGGCTTATTCGATTAAAACTATAAATGGTGAAGCTTGTGTGTGAGCTTTATTCATTCATTGAGCATATCTTCCATGCTGCTTACTTGACATGCACATGTGGGTGTTCACGTCAATTCACGTACATCCTGATGATGCAGCAAAAATCAGTTCATTTGTTGAATGTTGTTGATGATAGAGCGGTTGTGTCCATTAAGTAAGCATCATTTTTGACTTTTTTATTTTTGAGAATGTTCTAAAATCATATTTATGATGCAAAAAGAGAAAAAAAAATGAAAAGAAGAGAGAAAAGAGGAAGAAAGACTAAAGATAGGAAAATAAGACTAATGTAGTCTCTGGTGACAAACATGACTGGTCTTCTGTGTTATGATTTGCTGGAAGTTGAAGTAGATTTGCAAGCATCTTTTCCTGATATTTGTTTTTATTTATTCTTCCACAAAATATGGTTCATTACATGTTGTTCTTTATTATTTTTGTGAGCTGCCCTCCTTTACACATCTTCTTCAATCAACAAAAATCTTGATGAAAGTTCAAATGATGAGTAGGAGGAAGATTGGAAGACATGAGGGAGGCAAATGAGTGAAACAACTTTCTTCAAATTGCTTTGAGCATCTTTATGCTCATTTTAGTTAAAGTCCGTTGCTCACCATCGTTTTGATAGATGAGCTTGCGGATAAGATGAACTTAAGCTTGCTGAATTCTGTTCCGTTTTGGCTCGAATGTGATGGCTCGCAGATGCTGTTAGTTAAACAGCAATCCCTGGGGTTAAAGAAGAGTAGAAAATCAGAGTCACAGATGAGACAAAGGAATCTTCAATAGCATAGGAATGACGTCTCATTTGGTCATTCAAAACTGTTATTATATGGAAGCATATTATAGTTATTTAAGAAGAATTTCGTAAAGTTAGATGAAGGATACGCTAGTAGATGTTCTGACAAATGGTCAATCTGATTCGGAAATAGCAATTGCCGGTTCGGCAGTGAATGAGCGAAAAGACTTTTTTAGTTTGAAAATGTCAAGTTTCTATAGTAAAAGAAGTTGTATGGACAAGTCTCATTGACGTAAATATAGAGAGAGTATAGAGCTTAAGACAGAGTAAGAGAACAGGAGAGAGAGAGAACATCTGGCTCATCAGGTCTTCTCATCAATCCAATTACGGTCAGAGCATCTATGAGCTGTCTCTTTATATCTCTAACGTTTAGACAATCTCTCTACTATTTGCATACTGTTTGAGTCCTGTTATTGAGCTTATTGAATTGTTTGAGCTGGTCTAAGAAATGTGAACATGACTGGTAAATTAGAAGCTTCTCCTCTCTGTTAGCCAAATGTTCGTTTTTTCATTCTCTCTCTCTCTCTCTATGTGACCGTCAGAGGAATTAGTATCAAGAGAGATCTCTAAATTCACTAAATGAAAATAAAAAATAGTGAAATTTCAAAATAAGACGGTTGATTTGATTTCTTTGAAGAGACACTCAACATGATTGCTATGACTGAATAGGAGAAGCTGGAAAGTAGTGAGAGACGTATAAAAACGAATCAAATCTGTCGTCAAAGCTGTCAAGTTATTTCCTTTAGACTCTTAAAGATGCGAGAATCTTCTCATCTCCTTTGAAGCTCCTTGTTCATGGACGACAATCAGTTAAGGAAGTCGAGTAGTCACTTGGAGCAATCAAAATGCAAATTTCCCATCATTGACTTGAAAGACCATCCCCGCATTGCATTTGTCATGACGAGATGACCATATATGATGAAACCGAGGAGCTTATGTCAATTATATAATCCATATAATGACTTCTCATACTCATTTCCGGTATAAGCTAAGTACAGAAGAAGCTGAGTACATCTTACGAGTGAGGGTACGAGCAGCATATAATCAGTCTGAAGGTCAAAATACAAGAAATATCTGAGATGATATCAGGGATCGAGCTGTTTTGTCACCTGTGTGTTGCCCTTGTTAGCAATCTTGCCTAACAGATTGACAATCTGTCAAAAAATGGCTCAAAGTGATAATACTGATTATAACTTTCTCTCAATCTCTATATAAGGTATACATGAAGGATAAGGAGTAACTGAGGGAAGAGAGAGGGCGAGAGGGACGAGCCATAATAGGGATGGAATGTGTTTTTTTGTTTTAAACTCTCTTCTAACTGCTATTTGATGAAAGAAGGTTTCTTTTTTAATTTCATTCTCTTCTCTTTCACTATCTGCCATTCATTCAAAATGAAAAGATGTCTTTTGAGCATTCAAAGAAAACTCTTTCAATTCCATTTTTCCTTTTATAATATTTCGTTAAATGATGAGACGCACACACACCGGAATTTATAATCCAATTTCAAAAGCTCTTGATAGCTTTTTGATTAATATTTTATGAAAATAAATACTTATGAAATATAATAGCAATATAAAAAATAATATATATATTAAAGAATATTATTTCAGTTAATGCCATATCGGAAGATGTGCTAGCTTGCTTACGTCAAGAACGATCATCGGTCGAGAATCCATTGTCACGTATCGTAACTGTTACAGCTCAACAACCAGCATATTTGCATTGTCGAGTTCCAACTGGTACAACTCATATGGTTAGTTCATTTGCATACCAATATTCAAAAGGTTCACGTCATTTTCACGTAATAGTAACGAAAGCCATACGATCGCATCTCATTTTCATTGGCATAGACATTGAGAGCGGTTGTCTTCTAAGTCTTTTGCTAGGCTAACCGAAAAGCTTAACCTTAAAAATATAAAAAATGGTGAGAAAGAGAGAGATGAAGTTACGTCATCTAATTGTATCTTGACCTTAGTCCTTTGTGCCAACCATAGAAAGGAACCGACTTGAGCAAATGAATCACAAGAATTGCATAAGCGGTAGCTCTTTCTGTTTGTCTTTTCGATTTTTCTTTCGACTTTCCAACACCTGCCCCTATTAATTAAGCTAATCATCATTAAGCCATGTAAGCGAATGTAAAGATGTGAGAAGGAAATGGAAAATCTAATAGTCAGTCGGTGTGCATTGAGTATTAGGTTGAAAGAGAGAGAGAGAGAGAGTGAGAGAGAGAGAGATTGAAAGAGAAAAAACACAGTTCAATATAGTCATTAGTCAACTATCCTATAATCATAGAGCAGGTCAGGAAAGATGTCTTGTCAATTGTGTGAGGATTGTGCATAATCATAAAGCATAAACTGACCTTACTGCTTGACTGACTGACCTATTGTCCAATATCCATAACTGACTTTTTCATTTTTGTATAAGCTCAAAGGTCGGATAAGGCGGAAGTACAGAGAAAGATGATGAAATAGATAGAGGTTAATGAAGACAACAATGGCTGTCATCAAAAATCAAAATAATAAAATGTAATTGATAAAATGAGTTAATTAGGGGGTTGACTGAGAGAGGGAGACTGTTATGAGTAGGCAGGCATAGGCAATAGCCGAATAAGACATCTGTAGAGTCATACAACTAACTATCCAATAACGGTATTGTTCTAATGAACCTAAACGGATGACAATATTTCCTGTCAAATGAACCCATACACACATATTATGAGTTTAAAGGTCGGATGATGATCGTTACTTTCCTTTGAAGATGAAACAATGCCAACGAAAAACCTTTTTCGCACTCTATTTAAGGTCATCGTTTTATATAATTCAATATGTTCAATCAACCAACATCAATTTCCATTTTTCCATATAGTATGAGGGTAGAGTGTTCGTAATAGATCGAGTACACAGTTCGTAATCGTCTAAAACTTCTAAACGAAACATTCTCGCACCAGATTGCAGGGAAGGAGAAGAGAGAGAGAGGGAAGAGCAGTGGGGGGATGAAGAAACAGAGAAGGACTGAAGAATAAACAAGAAAATATACATTTGACAAGTGAGATTTGCATTGTTATCGTAACAAAGTCTATAAAAGCTTATATTGAAATATATCTCTCTCTATATGTATGTAGAGAGAGAGGGAATTATGTATGAAAGTAACAGAAGACTAACGTGACGGCTTCTGATTGAGAGAAATGAAATCTATTTGAACGATCTCTAACTGTTTTCACACTTTGTTTGTATTTCACAATTGTTTGGCTTCAATCAATTACAATATAAACTATTTATTATGTAATATTATAAATTTGAATTTATGGAAACTTTCAGGTCGCTTGGACAAGGGCATCTGATCAGGCTCTCCTTACGGCTGGACATCAATCGTTCACTTCTGATCCTCGTTTCCAAGTCTCACGTAAAACTGATGAAGATTGGATGTTAATTCTGAGGTTCGTTGGAAAAGTTTTGAAAGCAGATGGAAGACCATCCATATGGGGGTTCATGAATTAACAATTTGACAACGGCAGAGCACCTACGATTGATATTCATTGGATAGAACTGTCACTTCATTAACTATGCATTTTAATTTTCATAATAACCTCAAGTAGATAGAACTTGAGTCAGTGAGAGAGAGATTGAAAATTCAAAAAAACGACTGACACATCCAAATGTTCGAAAAGCTTGTTAGGAACTTGAAAATCTCCAATCACTTCTATCCTTTGGTCAAAATTCAATTGACATTTGTCCTGACAGCTATAAAGAACAAAAACAAAATGTCTTTAAAGCTAATCCAATCTGAGAATACTGTCCTTTGCAGTTCTTTCGTTTCTTTCTTTTGCTCTTCTTCTCTGCTTTTGAAAAAAAGAATATTTTTCTTTTTTGTTCTGAAACATCTGCAATGTTGAAGATAAGAGGAACGGCAGTAGACAGGTGATGCGACGTAGCTGCTGGCCGGCAGCAGCTAAATGAGGAAGAAGCTCTTGAGGAAAACGAAAATGACCGTCACCCGCTGTGAAGTCTCTTCTTCTTTTGCACATCTTTTACTTCTTCAAATATCTAAAATTCGATTAGGAAGTGGTTGTGTACATCTTTATCCACTTCATCAACTTCTGTCATCTGTATTAATAGAAAAGCTGAGAGGGAGGGAGATACTTAAATGGAGGAAAAAAATGGCTGAAAAGCATTGACATTGATATATTTCCAGAAGAGCTGATCAATCAGATAGTGGATGTTATCTATGTGAAGTTAATACGGAACCTATAAGTACAATATATTCTGTCTATTTGGATGTTAAAGGTTCGAATATGACCGATGGTAGCATCATAATTTCACAAGACACGGTAATTCACGGTATGAGCTTGAGCTCCAATCAGCTTTCTCTTCTCTCTTCTTTTCAATTTTCACGTCTGAAATGATGTCTTTTCGAGTTCATACTACATACATCATAACATCCGTTCAGCCGTGTCTTGTGTAGATCTGAAGGATCTTTTTATTTCATTTTCCATATATGTATGAACAATGTAATTTCGTTTTTCATATTTCAGAAGCACCAACTATGGCTTCCGTCAATTCGAGTAAGTTTTTCGTTTTCTACTTTCCTTTTGAGTTCGCAGGTGATTCGAGCATCTCCACCATTTTCTGACTAATTTCCCTGAGGGTACAATGACGAGAACATCTAGTTCAGCTAAATGCCATTAACAAACACTGCTTAGCTTGCGCACAATGTTCCAGAAAAGGAAAGTCAAAAGTCAATGCAGCAGCAGCAGCTGCATAGCATACCTGTCTCAAATAATTATTTTGTTAGTTTGTTAAAAAAAACTAATCCGAATGACACTTTAATCCTGTAAGAAGATGCATTTGTGGCACACAATGACAATCCTTTACTCTCTGTCTTTGAAACTGAAACAAAAATATGAGCAAAACAACCATAAAGCATACCAATCAGAGAATGTTCGAGAACAAAGACAAAATAATGTTTGATTGAAAAAGCTCGTTCAGTCTCTCATGGCTATCACTTCAAACATGTTTTGTCGTTTACTCTTCTCGATTCAGAATCATATTTTTGTTTCCATTTGTTTTCAATTTTAAGTTTATTTCTTTATGTTTTCCAACATTTTTCATTTTTTTTCCCCTTTCTCTCTCTTCTGCTGAGGATTCTCTTTTGTTCTCTTCTCATACTTCTTCTGCTTCTTCTATCGACAACTTCAATAAGATGTAGCTGCATGCCTAGATAAACGAAGCGTATCTTTCAAACCAACGTCGTGCCTCTTCGCTTCTTTCTTTTACTTCCAAGTTTTAAAAGTTTTAAATGTCTCTCCTGAAACGTTTAACTCTGCAGGCGACATTCCATATGATGATTTGTCTTTAGCTTTCAAACCAATTGATTTGAACACCAAACTGATCCAACACACATACTCTTCATCTTCCGCATTTGGCTATTTCGCTCTTCAAATTGTAGAATCCTCCATACAAGTGTTTTTTTTGTTCTCCTTCCTCGTTATACAACAACAAAATAACGCTTATCTAAAAGCTCATCGTTTATTCTGCAACATTATTTCTCTATTGGTTGTTCTAAGGCGATGCTTACAAACATTATCCTTTTCTGCTGTTTGGCCTATATCGTATCAGCTCGTTATCCTCCATGGGAAAGATGTCATAGTAAGTTGAGAGAATGCTTCATCTGCAACCGAATCACCTATGAACTTCAAAAAGACTTCATTCAACCCAATGAATCTTCAAGTTACAATTAAATTATGTCTATTTTAGAGAAAAGTACGAAGCTTGTTGCGAATATGGCTGGTAATGAAGTTCTTCTCAACTGTACCGTTGCTCTTGGCGATTCATCTGAAGAAGATGTCGTTTGGACAAGAGATGGCAAATCTATTAACTTGAATGATACCGCAAGTCAGTAATTTGCATTTGAACTCAAAAAAACAATTTTCACGTCTCATTCACGTGCGATTAAAATGCTCATTTTCATTTTGCACGCTAATGAGACTGTGATCGGTTGCTTTTACTTTTTTTATAACTCTGTAGCTCTTTCATTGATTTTCAAAATTTCAGAATACGTATGGAAAGTGAAAAGAGCAACTGGTGTCGTCGTACACACCGTTAGGATTCGTGCTGCCACTATGGATGATGACGGTGATTACGCATGCCAGAACCGTGATCAGCGTGCAAGTCAAATAGTTCATGTCAATCGTAAGTGCCTTTAGCTAACTTTATTGCCTCTTCAAGCAGAATTGAGCTTTCAACTCCTCTGCATATCGAATCTATCTTTTTCTGGTGTCAGAATTAATTTTTTTTCATATTCAGGCGCGGAAGCTCAGCGTAGTTCCCAAGAGGGCTCGAGGATCTCGTTTGCTGCTGTCATAAGTGTACTCAGCCTAGCCTATTATTCTTCCTTATGAAACAAGACGGAAAAAACTGTTTTTTTTTCTCTAAAAATCTATTTATAAGAATGGTTCTGAATTTACATTTTTGTCTGTTTTCGTTTCTAGTTTATCACTCATCGCTTTCCGTCACTTATTTCCTTGTAAGTCATTACATATTCATATCTTGAGATGTTCTTCAAACTTTCACAGTTTCCACAACCCAGCTTCCCAGAATTTAACTTCCCGTGTGTTTATCTATATTTATAAAAACTAAAACTATTGATATGGGTTTATAGAGTTCATTCTATTAATAACTTCTAGAATCTAATACCTCCTTTCTTCTGTTCACTTTGTTCGTAAAACAATGATCATTTCGATTCCTTACTTGCCTCGCTTCGTAGAGAATTGAAATATTTCAAAAACAATTTCTCAGGAGTTAATAAAGATGTGTCCATGTAAAACTTTATTTAATCTTGAATAGGTACACCTGCAGCGCTTATATTATAGTGAAAGAATAAAAAAAACAAAAAAATATTTAATATTAGGATTGCACGTTGGAAATCTATAAAGAAGCTATAATATGCTAGAGAAACATTATACTCGCGACTTCTCTTTGAAACAAATTCAAGCGAAAAGGATAGTTTTAATGAAATAATGACTACTTTCCATGACCCCAGGGCCAAGATAGGAATGAAAACTTACAAAATTGAAATATTCACAATGTTCCCATAGATTAACCGCATTTACATTTTTTCTTTTCTTTGCGTTCATTCGTAAGAGTGAGCTTAGCATCTCCGAAAACCGTGTTTTGATTAGGGTTCGCCAACTTGGCAGTCAGAACGAGACGCGTGATGCTTGAAAACATCTAAAAAGGACTTTGATTAAATAAGTTAGCTATGATCACCTACCTCTTCCACAAATTTGTTCTCTTTGGCCGAAGTTTCGAAAAAGTTAATTCCCATAGTATCAGCGAAACGACGAGCATCGCTTTCGAGAACAACCCGACGACTAGGATCTTCATTCTTGTTTCCAACTAGAACTCTTGGTGAATTTGCATACAAAGCCAACTGAACCTAATATTTTTTGAACATTATCACAGTTCGTTTCGATTTCGTGGAGCCATCTTTTCACATTTCCGAATGATTCTCCATTAGTCACATCATAAACAACAACAACACCATGGGTTCCACGATAATACCTAAAGCACGCTCGATAGAATCGGATTTCATTCATTACACTACGTAGAGGTAATAGTACGGAATCTTTCCTGACCAGCAGTATCCCAAATTTGAAGTTTCACTTTGTGTCCATCAATTTCAACTGTTCTAATTTTGAAATCAACACCAATAGTTGTAATGTAGTTTTCTAAAGTGATAAGATAAGCTAAGAGGAAGCCAGACAAGCTAACCTGAGAAAACATTGTCAGAGAACCTCAGTAGTAAACTGCTCTTTCCAACGCCTGGAGAAAAACATCGTTAGAAGAATACGAACTGGTTATCCTACCACTGTCTCCGATAATCAGAAGTTTGAAAAGATGGTCATAATCCTTGGCACTAGCACCATACCCAGACATCTAAGACATCAATCAGTTAAGATCAAATGAAAAACCAAGATAGTAGAGAGTAGAAAACTCTTTCAACTAATAAAAAACATTAAAAATATCATAACTTCAATAAGAAATACTCAATACAGCACTGGGAATGAGTTGAAAAGCTTTGTAGAAAACAAAATCAGACATACAAATCAAAATCAATACGACGAACAGGGTTGAACCCTCCACTTCCCACTCTTCTGGCATAACCATCAGTAGAGAGGTCCCCATTCTCCTGCTTCTGCAACATTTCAGCCGATGTGAACGGTCCCTAAAAACAATACTGTTGAAAGAAAATTTTTAAGAACTTACTTCAACTTCAGCTTCATTGCATTCTTTATACTCCCATTTCACTTCATCTTCGGAAGATTCGTCTGCTTGAGATGTGGAGGGACCAGCAGAAGTTGAAGCTAAATACAAAACAGTATGATATATGGTGCCGACCTTGTACCTGGGATATCAGAAAACATGTCCAAACTGTCGACAGCAACGTTATCCATTTTCTGGATCATGGTGTCATATCGCTCACGAGGCCATTCATAAGCTTCCATCTGTAGAATAAATTAGAATAAATATTTGTTGTAAATGATACAAACCAAGCCAGCAGAAAGTAATTCATCAGCAAGAGCACAGAGCTCCGTAGCCTTTTTCTGATTATCAGTTTCTTCAAAAGCTTTTCCTGCTTTTTTAGCAGCCCATCTGAGCTTTCTCTCTTCGGCAACAGTAAGACCTGAAGAGTGTAATTAACAAGAAGCTTATTAAATGAAAATTACCTTTTTGCTTTTTTATAGAGACGAGAGCTTGAGCCACATTTTGTCCAGGAGCCAATGCCTCAGCGAGTTTTCCGAAGATTTCTCGTTTTCGGGCATCATTGAGTGTAGGCAAGGCAGCTTCTGTATCCTAAAACAGTTAATTTTGAAATAAAGGTGAAGGTGAATGTGATATGTAAATAAAAATATGTATAGGATCAGAAAATTTAACACCTGACAATGCAAACATAGCGCACAAGATGATTCATAGAATGACAGAAAAATAGGATTTGTGAAGGTACTTAAACGAACCTCACTTTCTTTCTCCCATTGTTCACCGGCTTTCCTTTTAATCGCACCCCAATCAATGTTATCAAGCCATTCATCCTTAACATCCTTAAAAAGATATCATCATATATCTGTGAACAAACGATGAAACCCGCCTTTCCTTTTTTGTCGAAGATGAAGTTTCCATCGGCATCGAAATGACCCTCTTCTTCTTCCTCCTTCATATTGAATGCAGTAATTTTGGTGTTACCATCGAAATCCAAAGCACTGTCTTCTTGACCTTCAACCTAAGGAATTCTAGTAATCAACGAGAAATTAAGACAAAAAAAATACTCTTTTGATGTCGAGGCGCTTGTGGTCTTCTTCCTCCTCCTCATCACTGTCGAGTGTATGCTTCTTAGCTTTTTTTATTGGAATGCCATCATCGTCAAACTGAAATTTTGATAAAAATTGATAAAAACATGAATCATATGCAATGGGAACCTCAGTATCAGACTCTGCTCTTTCTTCTCCTTCTGGTAGATCGTATTCGTCTAATGGCTCCAATGGTTTTTCGAAAGTACGGGTTTCAACACCGTCAGCAAACGAAACAGCTCGTTTAGACATTATTCTTAACAATGGGTTATGAAACTTGAAAACGATAACGGCGGAACGAGAAAAGAAAAAAATATGGGAGATATGCTAATGAAAAGAGGTTTTAATTGAATTTAACGAATAATCATTTAAAGCAAACCAATCATTTTTTCCCTACGATACTCCAAATGACGGCTGTGGACGCGCGGCAGGTTCGAAAATGTCATATGGCTTTGCTTTTGGCATGGTGACGCTTTGTTTCTGGTTTTTTGTGACCTTGTTTGACCGGTATTGTAAATATGCTTTTATTGTTTTTACCTTAGTTTTTCAAACATATATCCATGAAATGATTTTCAGTCAATAATGGGACAAGTGTTCTCAGCCAGCAACAAGTTCAATGCAGGCGAAATTTCAGTGATGGGTGATGGAGAGACCCCTAAAACGCCAGCAGATGCAGTATGATTGAATAGTCATTTTTCTTTCACAACTTCCGTTCTAGAATTCTAATTTTTTCGCCGTTGATCCAAGATCTCCGACTTATGAGTATGATAGAACCCCAATCAGAATAGACAAGTGCGTTTTAAAATAATTTATAAATCACAATTAAGGTTTTATAGAGCAGGAGGTGATGGATCAAATGCAAGTCTTAATAACGACGAGAACTCTCCCATATCATCTAAAGCTGGATCACGTACACGTTCATTACACCAACGGCTGATGGTGAAAAAGATGTCAAGCCAGGAGTCGTAGATGGCGTCGGTATTGTTCCATTTCTATGAGATTTTTGCTTTCTATTGCCTGCGCAACTGATAGACTGTTTCCCTTCTAAATAACTTTCATATTTTCTATTCATTTTTCTTGGGGGTTTCCACAGTAGTTCTCACCCATTTTTTGAGAATATCGACAACGGAATTGTTACTCTTCAGTTTATTAAATTTTTTTTATCTTTCTACTAACAGAAAGTAACCTAACAACATTTGGCTTTCTCATCTAGTCGAGAGTGAGAGGTGCAGAGTTTGGCTGTGCTTCCAATTTCAAACGTTGGTTAGGCGGCTTCATCGTAAATATTTTCGAGAATGACTTTGTCTTTCGTCATCTACTCTAATAATATCCACATTCTTGAGCAACAAAATTAGTTTTTGATCTGTTTTTTTCGACGAGAAGATGTCTCCTGATATGACACAAATGCTGAAGAGCAATGATTCTATTTTCGTTTCCAAAAATGGGTGAAAACTCTTCAAGATCCCGACTTTCTTACCTCAAATGTAAATGTGGAAACCATACTGAGTGTCGCCTCTAATGATGATTGCCTTGTTTCCCTAATGGGAAATATAGCTGCATTCCAAAGCGAACACTGAGTTAAACCCGTATTTTTTTCCATCCACATCAGATGTTCTTCTTTTTTTTTGATATCGTCATGTGTGTGAAAAAGAATTGTAACATAACCGCGTTTTGTGCAAATTGTAAATACGACTGAATTTTCCGGGATAACCATTCCTCCACTCGAACGAATACTACTCACTATACAATTTGAGCTTATTTGTATGTTACTAATATCACTGTACTCCACATAGCATCCTTTTTCTATCTGAATTTTTTTTCAATTTAGAACTCCGTAATATGCTCACCTTACAATTCTTGATGTCACTATAAACTTTTCCATCATGTTCTATACTAAACTTTTTTGAGAATATCGAGTTTTCATCTATGTGTTGCAAGAATTCCTCAATCGTCCCCAAGTGGTAAAAGCTTTGAGGACCCAAATCTATCAGCTGTCGACAAGTCACATAACGTCACTTTCTAAACTTTCTCGAACCTCTTCTTTTGTTCCAGCAAATATCGATGACAGTCGCTGCCGGTAGAGCTGTAATTCCATAGTCCCTTTGGAAGAAATTTACAAACTATCAGATGACAGTGCAGACCTTCTGATAAATATGACAGACAGGGCTTGCTTCCTAATGATCTCATGAAATCTCCATAACAACATATTTCTTCTCTCAGAGTTGGGCTGTACAAGTCACCTAATTTCTCACAGATTCTCCAACTCATCCAGTAAAAACTAAAATCATTCATCTTCTGCTTTCGAACAGACAAGTGCAAGCAGACCAATCTGTTAACACCGACCCATCCGGACGAAGGGCATTGTGAGCGATAATTTGAGCTTCAGTTGGTTTTTGTAGGACAGATTGAAGCTTTCCATCATTGTCCAGAACGAAAACGCCATGTTGACAAGCCGTCTAAAATCCCAAAATTATTAATCAAAATTTTTTTCCGAACCTTCAAGCTAGATTGATTAGCGAAAAGAATCATGTCAGAGTCTTTGACTTCCCGAAAATTGGTCGTGTCTTCTAGAACGTCTGAAGCAGCAACAAGTAATCCGGGTTCGAGTATCGAAGGGAATTTCCTGGAAAAGCTTATAATCCATATGAAAAGTTTTTTGCGTTCACAAACTTGTATGACTTGAGCTTCAGCTCCAAAATGGTTTTACCGCCGGGTAAATAGGCAAATACCTTTCCATAACAAGAGAGATGTGGCATTCTCTGTGATAACCCTCCAGAATGGATGAGCAGTATCTATTGGGGTGTTATTAGAAGAAAGGTGAGCTTGTCTAACTTTTTTCGAGAGGAGATCTTGTTCGTACTGGGCCTTCAAGCGACTAATAATAGAGAACATACAACCACCAGAACCTTAAACAGACTTGAACCTGATAAAACTTTCGAGGAAGTTTCACCTATTCTAGATTCCGAAGGATCATCTGACATAACGGCCCAAGAATTAGTGAAAGAAGCTAGATCCATCTGTTGAAGAAAAAGTTCAAAATCTTCTTTCTGACCAATAGTGCCAGCCGTGATGATCAAGAGATCCCACATCTAAAATTATTTTTTTCAGCGTCGACTTTTCGAAAAATAAAATGAATGAAGTCACAAGTTTCGGGAACGAACAAGGGAATTATGCAATTTTATTTAACCATAATAGTACATTATTCATATTCATTAAGATGCGATTTGTAGAAGGTTGGGGGCTTCATCAAATGCTAGTGGTATGTACACTATATACAGGAAATCGATATCTACTCAGTAAAGGAAGTGCTCAGCACCAGCAATTGTCAGCGATTAGGAAGCCGATAACAGTTTTGGTTCAACCAAAGAAGGATTATGCCTCATTATTATTTGTACAGGGCAATAATTTTAACTAAAAATATATTTGACCCCTCATTAGGAGTCCTAAAGGTTTAAGTGTAGATGAGAACACATCTAGCTTCCTCATGTTCTGCCAAAATGGCGTATTTCTCAAATCCTAGGTCGATTTGACAGGGCCGTAAGCGCCACAGGTTCCGAGCCGGGAACAGAGGACTGCGCATGTAACGAGCAAGCTGAAAAAACATTTCAGTGAATGCTCTATTCTCCCATTGTTAGATATACCAAATTTGAATCGAATTTGGTGTTTTGCAAATGAAGTTGAAGCATTCGATTCCGACGGTTGAAAGCAGTCTCGATCAAAGTTAAAGCCGTGAAAGTTGAAACTGCGGGACAACCAGCAACCGAATATTTTTCTAATAAAGGACAATTCCGGGCTAGAACTCTAGCTAATCTGTCAGTTACCTTAAGAACTTGATATTGGATTGATTGAAAAAGTAACATACGATTCTATTGGATGTGATTTCGAAGAAAGTGAGACAGTGAAATGAGCTAGCTATGCTGCGTATGAACAAAGTCTCCGAAATTGGAATGGTACACTCTTCGAATGCCACCTGAAACATAATTTCACAAAATGAGCAAAGAAGCTTAGCGAACTTCGTGGAGTTTATCGTAATGGGCTAGCATGGACAACGTCCAGGGACGAACATTGCGGAGATCACATCGAGACATTATTAACCTGGAGGAATCAGTGAGTCTAATTAAAGAATACAAAAGAGCTTACCTAGTTAAAGGAGCTTGAGAACAACAAGCCAGTAATAGAGACATATGATTATCAGATATTCCCCCACCTGTGAGTTCTTCCTCAAGTTCTATCGATTCCAATACTAAAGTGACATTTTTGCTAGAATCTGAATTAGTTCTGAACCTCTGCTCATGAACGGTAGTATATACTGCAAGACGTCTGCAGATCCATGCACAGCGCATTGACAAACCGATAGAAACGTTTCACCTCTGGTAACAGATGCTAAACTCGGACAATCCCCGATCGACAATCGTAACACACGGGGGGATGGCAAGTAAGATTCTCAAAAAATAAAATTGTTTTGTTTGCACGTTTACAGCACTAACTAATCGTTGCGGCCAAAAACTTTTTACAGGAAAGTGCGAAGTTCAACTTGTCTGTGGCAGAATCAAGCTGTTTGAAAACCAAAGTTAACACTTCTATTGGCAACGAGTAAAGCATGACTGCTCCTTCGGACGAAAGACTGCAAATAACCATATTTTCGCAGAAAAGTGTTTTGAAAAACAGATAAAGGTGGTATTTGACCGATGGCGGATGGAAAACAGCAAGGTTCGAGCATTTGCTTCAATAAAACAAACATATTAACAACGAAATAAATATCAACAATAAAATACAAAATTTTGTGAAGATGGTTAGTATCGTCACCTTCGGAGAGCTGAATTTATACATGAATTCATTGTTAGTGAGATTACATTCCAAAACGTTTCGACCTGACGGAACGTCCGAAATCGACTAACTGCACACTATCAGGTCTTTTGAATTCTCTTTCTGATTGTTCCTTTCTACGTAGCATCTCTTGTTGAGCTTCTCGCATCTCAGCTTCCATACTTTCAACAGTCCTAACGCTTTCCATTCTCTTCTCATGTCTCATTGTTTTAGATGATAGAGATTCCTGAAAAACTCAGGCTTAACCATTATTCAATTTATGCCCTTACCTTAACAGAATAGAACATAGGACCCTGTTCAGCTAACCATACAGCATCTACAGCAGTCACACACTGCATGTATTCTTTGGCCGTCATAATCAGTTCGTGATACACCTGAAAAAAGATGTTGAGATGCCAATTAGCAAGATTTTCATTTTAAACTGATGCTCCTAATTAGCGGTTGTGAATTTGTTTTGCTATCGTCATCGACAATGATCTTTCAACTTCAAAATAAAACTTACGACATAATCGGGCATGAAACCCATACCGAACAGTGCTGATGTTGGATGCAAGAAGCATGGTATTCCAGTTCTGACGTTAACATATTCTCCGACACCTTTCAGTCTAAAAATATCTTTTATTCAAAAAGAATCAATGTGGTCCGAACAAACCTTCCAGCATTGTGGAAATAAGCGGAGCTGATACATTTTCGTATCACATCCCAGTCGCTACCGGTTGACACCATTTTTATTTTTTGTTCTTGCATAATCTCTTTCAGTTGAGCACGAACTTCGCGCACCTGAACATGATTTTATATTCTTCCTTGAGAAGTGTGGCTGCAGTACCTTCTTCAGTGCTTTGACGTGTAAATAGTTATCAGCACACCATTTAGCTGAATACTTATGTTGTCTCCATTGTAAATATACATTGAGGAATGTAAGATGATCTGACTCAGGTACCTTAAGGAATCTAGAATAAAGAGATCGGCATAAGCCATCATACTTGGAATTTCTCTTTTTTGGAATCAGCTTCTTCCTCTTTTCCTTTTGGACGGAAGAAAATAGCTGGTACAGACAGCATAGATACGATTGTGAGTACCTGTCAATATCTTATGTATCTCTATATTAGGTTAACTCAAATACTTCATCACTGCATCCCATGTTCTCAGAAACGATTAACATCTTTGATAAAGTAGGATCTAGAGGGAATTCTACCATTTTTCGACCAAGAGGAGTAAGCCTGAAAGCAGGATGTACTAAGTAATAAGGGTAATGACGTACTGTCCTGTGTTGTCCAATGCACCTAAGGTCCACAGCTGATACATAGAGTTAAGCATATTGTCCTAATATTTCAAAAGTTCTGAAGAAGCTGTAAGAATACAAACCTGAGGTGGGGCATCCATGAAATGGAATTTCAATAAATCGTCTACACCAAGAGATTTGAGTAGAAGTACAACATTAGCCAGATTAGTTCTTTGGATTTCAGGAACAGTTGATACCAATAGCTCATCTTTGAATTGTCGTTCTGTGTACAAACGGAAACATTGTCCAGGACCAGTACGACCAGCACGACCGGATCTTTGATTCGCAGAAGCTTGTGAAACTGGGAAAACCTAAGAAACTGATTAAAACAGAAAGATCGAATGAGTATACCTGTAGAGCGTCCATACCAATTCGGGGATTGAAGACTTTCAACTTACAGAATCCAGGGTCTATAACGAAAAGGATTCCGTCTACTGTTAAAGAAGTTTCAGCAATATTAGTAGCAACAATTGTTTTTCTCATTCCTCCTGGCGCTCTTTGGAAAATTTTGGCCTGAAAAACATGGGATGAAGCTTTGGATAGTTCTCATACCTGAAGATCACTAGGCAACTGAGAATAAATAGGTAAAACAGCCAAAGGTGGAGCTTCATCCAATTCTTCTAGTCTCTGCTTTATCAACGCACAAGTAATCTGAAAATGGACAGCGTTTCAGAATATCTTATGAAGAAATAACCTCAATGTCTTCTTGTCCAGGCATGAAAATGAGAAGATCCCCATCCATTCCACCCAAATGAATTGTGATAGCTTGTTTGACAGCGGCATCCACATAATCTTCAACAGGTGTTCGAGCATGGAAAATCTCGACAGGGAAAGTACGTCCAGGAATATTGAAGACGGGGCAATTACCTTAGAAAACGACAACTAATTAATCTTGAAAGAGAAAACATACCACCAAAGAACATCGCAAACTTCTCAGCATCCATAGTAGCCGAAGTAACAATGAGTTTCAAATCAGATCTTCTGGCTACAACATCCCTGAGAAGACCAAAAAGCACATCAGTATTCAATGACCTGAAACAAGAAGCTGAGTTTTCAGAAATAAGGGAAACTCAAACCTTTCATGAGCTTCGTCCATGATGATAGCTGAGTACTGATCAAGATCACCATCACCCAAACATTCTCTCAATAATATACCATCAGTCATGTATTTAACAATCGTTTTGTCTGATGTACAATCTTCGAAACGAATAGCATAACCACATTCCTGGCCAAGCTATAATGATTAAGATAAGATACAGTTGTACAAACGAAAGTTACTTCAACACCCATTTCTTCGGCTACACGTTTAGCTACACTCATGGCAGCAACACGACGAGGTTGTGTACATCCAATCAATCCTAATGAACATTCAACTAGATTCATTAGTTAAATTTTATTTTACCTGTGTCCCCGAAACCATCTTCTAAAAGATATTGAGCTAACTGAGTAGTTTTTCCGGATCCGGTTTCTCCGACAACAATAACAACGTTATTTTCTCTAATGATACTCATCATCTTCTGTCGACAAGCAAACACAGGTAAATATTCTCTTTGTTGCTGAAATCAAAACATACTGAAGTACACTATGAGTCTACCAACCTTGAGGGTCTTTTCCATGGCAAAATCAGAAACAGCCTCATTATCTCCCATATGTGAAGCAAACTGATGGGATTCCTAAAAAGCTGTAGTTGAAGTATTCAATTCTTTCAGAGAAACCTTGAAATTAGATGCATCTTCATCGGGCTCTCGCTCCTCCTGTTTTTCTCTGATACCCATAAGATTACCCAAATTACTGCCGGCCAACTCCCAATGCTTATCTTGCGCCTTAATATATGAATGAGAAAAACAAAACAAGCTTCAAAACCTTTTTGCGTTCTTCAGATTCTCTGAACTGTTTTACAACTTTGCTTCCTCTGGAAGCAGTGACTGCCATATCACAAGTAGTATCCACTACTGGGATGACAGGTTTGGATTGCTAGAAAGTACTTTAAACACGAACAGCCCGCATTTCAAACCTTTGTGAAAACAATTCTCCCATCCAAGAATGGAGGTACTATGTTGTGTACGAGAAGATGGACGCGATTTTCATCTGTTTCGTCTTCAATGATAGCCTCATCCATGGATATGACGACTCCTTTAGTAGTAATGGTGAATTGACATGTAGAGTGAACAAACGAACCTGATCGATGAAGTCTATTACTTTCCCACATTTCGTTGTCTCTTTTGATTTGTTGCTGACGAACTGTTAAACGAGGCTTATTCGTTTTCTCAAGCCACTGCTTCTCTCGTTTCTCAACGAACTCTTCACTTACCTAAACAAAAAAATGCTTTGAATAACTTTAACACTAAACAGACTTTATTGAAGGGGTTGTATTCGTCATCAAATGCACCGTCGTTATCGTACCATTCACGGTCCAGCATCTTCTGGTCAGCTTCCCATTCTTTCTGTTCAAATTCATCTTTGAAAAACGGCCTGAATAAAGAAAATGAAGTCCATCTAATCTACTAAAACTAACTCTGATAAGTCTTCTTTCATAGATCTGATACTATCTTCAGGCAAATTTCGTTTTCTACGTCGTTCTTCTTCGTAACGTCTTCGTTCACTTCGATAAACACTAGATACACCTGTGAAATTTAATTCAACTGAACATCGAGAAATCTTAACTCACTCCTTTCTGTATCATTTCCTCTTCGCACATATGGGGAAGGAGTGTCCCACTCAGTCTTGGATCGTCTACCGCCTTCTAATTCCCAGGTAGACCGGGAAGGAGTGTCAGGAACCTAAACGCTTCATCAGAAAACACATAACTGAAATCACTTACTCGGAAATCTGGAGTTTCATCACCTCGATCTCTATTCCTTCTCGAACTATCCCGATCTCTGCGCTCGCTTCTATCATATCTATCTCTGCCTCTATCACGGTCCCGGTCTCGACGATCACGGTCTCGGTAACGGTCTTTATCTTTGTCATATCTGTTATCTTTTCTAGTGTCAGCTACTATTCCACGTTTATCTCCTCGGTACTTCTCATCCTTGAATCTTAAAAACGCTTGAGTTGACATGAAGAAAACTGAGCAAATACTTTTCAATTTTTCCACGAATACTAGCAGTTAGTCCTGAACCAGGAGTATCTTCTTCAGCTCTTCTTTTACGGGATTCGTCTTTCTTGATTCTTGCTAGTGAGTCCAATCCTAGCATGGATCTGAAACTCTCGTCAAATAAAAGTGAAAGAAGAAACCGAACTTGTGATCGTCATCGTGCTTTTTTGAATCAGAATCTTTCCTACGAACGATTAATCCGCCAGTGACTTCGTTTAATCCTTCTAGTCTTGCTGGAGCATCGTCTGACATCTTTATCTAATAGAAACAGGTGAATCAAACTGATAAAGCTAAGCGAATAAAGCGAATATTCAAAACGAAAAAAATATTTTTAATCCGACGAGAGTACGCAATTTTGCGTATTCGAAAAAAAATTTAGCTCAACACTCCAGATGTTCGACATAAAATTGGAAGGACTGGACGAGAAGTTCGATTCGAATTTGATCCTTGAATTTAAATAAAAACTTTGCAACGATGACTTTCTTCTACCCATTTATATTTGAAAAGCAACCAAGTGTCTGGAGCCGGTGTTTCGATTAGGCACATTTTGAACATCGCATTAAATCTCTGACTCGGGAGAATAAGGTAAACCAGTACGATCTTTCATTGTTGAGGAGGACATAGGAGGTACAACCGCTTCATTGTCTGTCATTTGGTTGGGCTGCATCTGCCGATTTCGAACGCGTTCAATATTTTTGAATAGTTCATTTCGTTCAAAATATTGCAAAGAACGTTTGATATTTACAATGAGCACAAACAACAGCATGAAAAGGTAAAAAGTCCCTTCTTATTCTATGACCTAACCAATGCTTGATTTTGAAAAAGCAATTAACATCAGTTGGGTAGACTTTGTAAGGGAAACCTGTAAAACTACGTCCCATGAAACAATCGTCACGGAGAAACAAAAATAATGTAGAAAAACGAATCAACGGGAAGAATCGAGCTATGGCAGATGATCTACTAGTGTTACTAGAACATTATGCTGAATTACAAAACTCATGATTAATGAAAATAATGCATTAGAAAATTGGTTAGAAAAATATGAAAAATATTTCGGCACTTTCAGATGAACATACCCTCAACGTCGATAAGATAGGATTGATTGGTTTAGAAGCTAAAATAAATTAAAAAAACTGAAGGCCAATAAATTTGGGTAAAAAGGGATATTTAAAGACGACGTGAAGGGTTTCTTCTTGGCATTGTGGCCGAGTATGAGTGTTCAGAGCCTTCAAGAGCTCGGGACCGTGAACTGGAACGGCGTCTCCTTCTTGTACTCTGAAAACAGAAAGTGTCACCAGCAAAACGAATATGGGAAGTACTCACATCTTCGCTGCTAGAAACATCCTGGTCTGGATCATACTCAGGATCATGATGATCTTCTTCTTGTATCTCTTCGATGGAAGGTCTGATAGATTTTTTAGTATTAACGTCATTCATGCTTTGTGATCTTAAACCGTGCATTCAAAAAAATAACTTCATGTAAGCTTACCTTTGCAGTTGGTTTACTAGTTGCTGTTGCCCACGAACGGCTGCTTCTGTTACTATATCTTTCGCACATAATAGGGTCCGGCTTCCGATTCGAACAATCTGAAGGAAGAAGAAATGAAACAGATTCGAGAGAACACAACCGCTCACACGCGCCCACTATGTAAAAATAAAAAAAACAAAAGGGAAATGAAACTTCGTCTCGCGAAAATCACTGACAGGGAAGAACATAGCGGATACTTACTTGATTATAGCTTTCTGATTTGGCTTGCTCTAAGAAGGCGTCAATATCTCGTTCATAGTGCATCAAATTTGGGTGGATCCACTGGAAAATAAAATTTGGAATAGTTTTCTGTGGAATTCAAATTACCTTGCGATAAAGAATCGAAGCACCTTTAGTCCATGGGCTGAGGAGCCAGAACATAAAAACGATTTTCAATTGGAAATAAAATGGAAACCTGAAACAGGTACTTAAAAAAACTTCAGATGTAATTGACTGACCAAAATGCAACTAAAACATCGGCAATGTTCTCAACAAAACAATAAACAGCAAAGACAATCCAGTACATCATCCATTTAACATACTCGCGGACATCTTTAGTTCTTACCGCCTGTAACAAGATTAATCACTCGTCTACTAACCAAATGCTCACCTTATAACTCTTATAAGCTGGATAAAGAGTTCCGGCTGTTAATGATATTAGCCTTGATAATGTTTCTGACATTTTACACAGACGAAACTCTGAAAAAAAAGTTAAGTGGACGGCCGCTATTCAAGTCTTACCTTCTTATAAGGATCGTACAAGTTATTAGTGCTTTGGAAAGAATACCCGCCGAAGGAAGACTGAAAGATAAAGTTGGAAAAATATATACCAGATAATAGTTGCATGAGTAAGGGACGTCGATATAGATAATACAGTGACAAATGCAAGAAAGATTAAAAATACTGTTCTAATCAAATATGATAGCGAATAATGAAAACACATGTGACGTCCTCAAAGGAAGTAAACTGATCATGATTAAGAATACAAATATTTCAAGAAACAGCGGAACTTAGATATGATCCGCATTTCATAATCTCTTCGTCATACTCGAAGAAAGGATGACTTAACATAAGACGTGAAGCAGAAATGCCTTGCGTTCTGAACAGCGTATGAGGAAATGTTCCAAAAAACTTTTGCTGGAATAACAAAAGAAGTTCGCAAAGAAATGATTTGCTCATTCAGTCCTGAATGAAAGATCGTCTTCAAAATACAATAACTCGCTTTGAGTAGAAAAACACAATAACCAAATTCAACATAAAAACTGTATACAAAGCAACTGGATTGTGAAAACTTCCTTTTATCGATGATAAGAAATTGGTTTTAATAGTACTCAACGGATTGTTTGAGGTTAACAAAATGTACTTTTCCAATTAGAATTTCGAGAAGTTGAATGCTAGACCATCTACCGTCGTTCCTTGCTGCCCAATAACAACAACAACAAATGAAGTCGAGGGACAGTGACAGTGTGGATTATGATCTCAGAGTGATCGATAAGGGATAAATTCCTGATAAACAATATTATCTAAGCGATATAGATGATTCATCTCTCTTCTAGAATTGAGAGAGTACTATTAGAAGCAAACACCAGTGGTAATTAAGGACTGTGGCGACCGTAGTTGAAATCTTAGCCATGTAGCACGATTTCTAGTGAAGTCAATTTAGAAACTGAAATCACTCAGTTTTCGCAAAAGGACAACGTAGATATCATCGGAACTCCTTTGTGATTCGGTCTGGACAATAACCGATATATACAACAACAAAGAATATAGTTTCGAGAAGTTTCTATGTTTTCATGGAAAGCTTTCTATTCGTTAATGAATTGCTTCATGGCAAATAGATTTGGCACTAACACATTAAACATGGTGAATCAGGTGGAAGATGGGAGGAAAAGACAAAATGCCTTGAATAAACAAATTCAACTACCGGTGCGACAATGTGATCAGAGTGCCCGAGGCGAATAATTCCAAGAGATTCTTCAAGAATAACAGAGAGAGAGAGGAGGATAGAGTGAGACACTGTGAGGACCAGTAGTGGCGGTAAAAGAGCATTGAAAAAGAAAAAAAAAGAAATTGGCCTATTGTTCATCATTTCTACGAAATCTGCAGAACGTAGAATTTCCTATCGGTAAATCACCACCCATTACAGTCCGTTCATTACGAATGACAAAGCATGTATATGCCAGTAATAGTTCGAGGGAAAGACGAATGCGTGGAACATATTCACATAGGCAGTGGGTGATGATAATTGATAAATTCGATAGAACAGGTGTAAAAACGAAACATACGCTATAGCAGGCAGTATGTAGGGATGGGGTTAGCACATCGACATCAATGCTGCTACAATCTTCATCAATAAACATTACAGACGCCAAAAAAGGAGAATCATTCTCAGGCGTAATATGACAAGGTCTAGAAGTGGTAAAAACTGCGACGGCAATGCTTTGTTGCTATTATTACAGCGTTTTCGTAGCTGCTGTCTGCTAAGCCAACGCACCAGCATCCCTCACTCTCAACACTTCAACGAGAGATATGCAGTCTTCGTTCTACTTCGAGCAGATTTGAAAGATATTCTTACTATTCATCTGTATCTATTCCGTATGCTAAACATTTAAACCCATTGAAGACGACTGTTATGACGGGAATATTCCTTTTAACAGTCGTCGTAGGATTTAATGGGTATATAAGACTTGCTGTGCTACAGGTCACAAATGGGCCATTAAGGGTGCATTCGAGGTAGAATCAGTCAGGCATATTCCTGACCAATTTTACGCAACGTAATTATTCCTGAACTGATGCCTAATTCGACTTGATCTATTGTCAATAACATCTGTCGCAGTCATCGACTAGGGTAGCGTGATCGATACGACAGGCGGCATTAGTAAGTTGGATAGCTCCCCCATACAAGGCAATCGGTAGCAAGAAGTATGGAACCCAGAAACAGTTAACATTTTGTAACAATTTTGTTCCATGTATACATACGCTAATGAGGGCATGTCATTCTTACATATACATATTCAAAGCTGAATAAAAGTAATAGTAATGAACAAAAGAAAACAATCGCAAACCAGGGTCAGAATTAAACTGTCGTCTCTAAAACAAGAAGCAGTATCGGCTTAATGCAGTATTTACTTTTTTCACTATTAAGCTGCTCCTGGTATTAACTGATATATGAAACTTCCTGGTAACTTGTGTAACACTGAGAGAGCTGAGAAGAAATAAGTCAGGAATAATAATATAAATAATAACTCGCAAAATATTGTTGAACATTAAATATACGAGTGCAAGAGAGGCTGGATGTAGAGCCCTCATGCGACTGTTCTCTCCGTCTCTGACAAGTCGTTTCTCAGTGTCTGACTCTAGACATGGAATTCTTTGAACCGGTAATCCCAGCCCTACAGTTCACAATAACCTTTGCATAATTTTTTAGATAAAGAATTTTTTGTTGAATCATTATCACCTATATAACCATCCGGTTTTCTTACATGTTTCTTGACACTTCAGGAACAAACAAAGTTTGAATTAATTCATTCGAAGACTGGTAAAGCTGTGTTCTTCAGTAAACCTAACTGAAAACAAAAATTTTATAAATGTAGTTCAATTACTTTTCATGAATGCAATCATAGGAGCTCTCATAACGAAACGTACAGCAGTCGCTGTGATTCGAAAATGAAATTACAGCGCTTTTTTCCGCGTCCAAACGATATGCTAATTTTTGGCAGATCGAACAGAAATGTATGCAGAAGCCACGTAGGTTTGTAATATTGAAAATACGTTATAGAGGGTTCTACAAAACATGACACGATCAACATCGCAGAAGTTTTCGCTTTCATCTTTCTTCATCTGAGGTATATCCAATTATGAACACAGTGTGAACTCCTGTCCTGCATCTCAAATTTAACCTGATTTCTGAGAGAAAATGGAATAGTTTAGGATTAACACAAAGGAAACAATCGAAGCAATAATTGGGAGAAATATAGATTTATTCGTGTACTCTGATATGTACAACACGTGTAAGATGAGAGAAACAATAGTGTGAACAACGCCCAGGTCGGATAATTAGTAAAAAAAAAGTTTTTAATCACGATCTTATTAAACTCTCTGAAACACACTAACAGTATCTAATTCAAGACAAAACTATGCTTATTAACATCATAGAAAACATACTGGGATGACAAAAATTTGAGGAACAAGTCTTTGTCTGTAATAAAAACGTAGGAACTTTACCCAAAAATCGAATCACCAGTGTTAGTTTGGTTGCGAAAACAAAAAGAAAATAAAGCGGACACCGGTTGGTCCATATAATGCAGAAAATCTCCATGATATCCTACGGAATCCTCTTCTCACAAGAAAAACTAGTGATAATCAAGGAGAAAGCATCGGGAGCCTACAAATACAGACTGGTCGACTATGAGAATCGATATGAATAGAGGAAAGTGTTTGAAGTAACGTTATATCGGAAAAAGAGAATTCGCTAGGCAAGAAAGGGGAGCGTAAAGCTAGAGGATAAATACAACTTAGAAGAGATGAAACATTCAACCCTGCTAGAGAATGAGAAGCATATCTCTAATGAGGGACTAATCTAGCTCGAATGGAAATTCTGACATGGAGAAAGTCCCCTAGGCTTTTGACTGATAGTAAATGCGTTCTGTTCTGCCGTTGAAGATCCAAAAACTTTGAGGGATGATATTCACGAGACTATTGCGGAAGAAAATGGCAAAACTGCTGAGCAAGCACGAAAAAACTGAACTGGAGTTGAAAGATTATCTTAGAAGATCTCATAGTTTAGGTGTAGATGGTTCTTCGACTGTGTTGAGACTCTTGAACGCAAAAATCATCCACGAGATTCGTTGAAGAATTAGATAAGTCTAATGATAATACAGAAGACGACGGCCTATTGAGGAAGAAGCGTATTTGACGCCATGTGATGTTGACGTCTCGGAATAGTTGCATCTGTAGAGAGAAAGTAAAAAAGGAGGAAGATAACAACCAAGAACCTGGAAGATGCCGATGATGGTGGTTAAAAATCCAACAATATTTCCAAGAATATCAGAGGCTCCCAAACAAGACCATTCCTGAAATAAGAAAGACGTTTGATTGTCTATGGATAGACGACTCACTTTGTACAAAATTGATGAAGCCATGATGACAAACGTGGTAAAGAAGACGTAGTAAATAGGAGTTACCATGGATGTGTTGAAAATATCAAGCGCTTTATTCAAATAGATCTGGAAAGAAGAGAAAATAATGAAGAAACAAATTCTGATTTACCAATTGCACTGAAACGCATATCGCTACACTCGCTATCCAGAAGTAAGTGAGGATGTTCGTAAACTGTTGATTACCCGAGAAAGTTTCTTTTATAGCCAACGTTAAGCCCTATAAGACATGGAGTAAGTGAAGTAATGAGAAATTAAAACACTTACTTTCACTGAAAGAATTGACAAGGATCCAATCAACGAACAAACTGTTATATAAACGACGATGTTAGAATGACCATACCGAGGCGCTACATAGAGCACAAGCACCAAAGTCACAAAAATGACCATTATTACATAGAGGATGAACACTGGAACATAGTCATGAGAACTGTCTAAGACATTTGGAACTCACTGGCATCTTTCATTTTATCTGCCAAATCTTTCATGGACGCTACTTCTTCTTCTTTGGGTGAATGAATAACTATAACGGTTGATCCCAAAAGACAAACAGCACATCCTATCTTCCCGAGCAAGTTTAGACGTTCTTTAAGTAAACGAGAAGATAAAACAGCGCTGAACAGTGATACGTTAGAAGGAGTGGTTTCTTCAAACATACGTTACAATCACGGATAAGGCTCCGAGAGGGGTGACTAAGCTGGCCGGAGCGAATCCATAAGCAGCGAAATTACAAAGTTCTCCAACACCCACTAATTTAGTTCAATACATCATTTCAATTTGAAATTAATTAAACGAACTAGTTATTACTCCCATCCACCACAGCCATTCTTTCAAATATCCAAATCCTCCTTCACTCGCTCTCTGTGATATGTCCCCATTGGCCAACTATAACAGAAAATGAGCGATTAAGCGAAGCACCTTTACGACGAACCTTGAGCAAAGCTTTCTTCTTTATAATAAAGGAAGTGCCGATAAAGATAGAGGAGGAAACTGCTAAGATGAGTCCAATATAGAAATCGGTGAAGAAGCTTTTGTCTTCCTCAGTCAAAGTATCAACTTCTACAGGAGAACTCCCATTCATCCTGCAAAACAAAGTTCTTTAAGAAGGTTTTCCGTAATGGAACAGCAGTCTTATGCCATGAATAGTTGGAACTCAAAAAAGCAATCAATGCGACAATCAAAGAGAGGTCTAGATAACAATTTAGGCAGCGAGTCAAGCGACTAGCGATAAGCCGATCGTCGATTTAATGCATTGTAGAAACTTCATGTATGATTTAAAACGGCAGATGGAAAATTTAGAACAAATTATGAAAACATCTGATTCGTCTCGTGTGTGTCGTACAATTTTGAAACAAAAAAACAAAGTTTCACAGAAAAATACAAAGCATAAGGAAGAAGGAAAGGGCAGGTAATGCGAATGAAAGAGGATTGAAGTGTATTGGTGTTCAGAGTCTTAGAGAAATTATTCTCTGAAATGAAGCTGATTCATCGGTAAATAGAAGAAGCAAGGCATTTATAATACAAATAGTAAACACATTTTCATTAACTTTTCGAACGAATTATAAGTAAATATGGAAAGTAAGTGTGACGCATAGGATGGGATGGTACTGAATCATAGGAGGATCTCGGTTTGGAGAGCCCGTGTCATGGGAGTGATTAGATAAGCCGATTCATTAACAAACCTAAAAAAACACGAAATCTCTTCGCCCATGATAAAATTTACAGAACTTTGTGCTCTAATCGATGAATAATCAACTACACTAATGAAACAATTGATAAAAGATCGGCATCGAGATTAGAAAAACTGTTTTGCGCAAAAAAAAATACAAAAAAGTGTTCTCCGAAAAACAGACAGAGAAAGAGAAGTAGTGGAGAGGAGGAGGGAAGGAAGGAGAGTGAACGCACAATTACCATGTACTGCTGCCATGGTGATTTGTGATAATTATAGAAAACCAAAAAAAAAAAAGAAGTGATAATTAAGGCAGAAATGGAATCGAAGCTGAACTCCATTCAAGTGAAGACCGAACAGTTCATTTTCGTTTGAACGAGAAGGTTTCTTTCTTCAACCGTACATGAGCAATTCATATGATATGGCAATTTACAATCAAATCGAAACCCATAAAAGAGGCTTTCAACATAATAAAAATCAATATCGGTTGAATGTATATGAAGGCAATGAGGGTAAACTTGATAAACATGAGTTTGCTATTTATGAATCATAATGGATGTAAGTACTCATACCTTCCTCATCAAACACGTTGAACATGGTCTTTTATGGTCAAACTTTACGAATCTGCACGACTAACAAAATACAAAAACCTACCAAAAAGAAGCCGAAACGACGTTGCCGGTATCAGACATTGTGTGACAAAAATAAAATCTGGATAGCAATATCAGAAGTTTTGCTGAAACCACAATCACTTACATAGAGTTTTGCTGTTATTGCGATGCAGATGATGCTTACAGAAATAAAATAATAATGGAGTCCACGAAGGAGTGAAGCTCAAACGATCATCCTGAAAATGAAAAGCTCTGTATAAGTTGACAAGTTATAAATAAGCTTAAGCGCGTCGATTTGAGCAAACCGAAACACTTCAAAAGGACCTCTTTGAGGTATGCTTTCGCGAGAACGACGGGTTGGTAATGGTAAAAAAGGAACTATCTTGTTATTATTTTGATTTACGATAAAAACGATTTATTTTGTTAAATGGAATGAAGAAGGACAGAAAACGTGGACTGTGTGAGATAGTACGCATTAGCAAGAGAGGTAAGAGATAATTACAAAAATAGCTAAACGTATTTTCACGGACGGAAATATAAGTCTGAAAGTTTATGAGGTATTCTAAAATTCTTATTTGGAACGAATGAATATTGAACATAAAGAAAATAAGCATCATCGAGCTAGAAAGAAGAAGGTAAAAGGGTATTGATCGAAATATCTGAGCTTGTTATGACATCAGTCTTAGGACGTTTCTAAGGAAACAGCCTGCTTATCGTTGTCGGACCTGCTGTGGGTAATTTAGAACTGAAAGTCAGATAGAGAGAGTCAGAATGTTTAGTTCAAACGATCATTTTGTAAAATTACATACGGAAAAGGAACAAAGAGATTGATGTAAAGTGTAATCTTCTGATGATGTGTGTAGGTGAGTAGAAGGGAATAGAGAATTCGAAAAATGAATATACGTCGTTCATTTTTGATATGTTTATTTTCTTTTTAAAACATCAGAGATCTCGTAAGTGAATGAAACACCATGAAACAGTTAATATGCATAATAAATAAGTTCAGATATGTTTAGGAGAAGAAGTTCTCTTGTTCAATGTCATGATAGAGCTCGATGAGCTCAGATACTTGCTCAGCGCTATGATCCATCATATCAGCTGTAAATCCTTCCTAAATTGAAATTTTATAAGAAAGGTGGAAGGTTGGCTTCGAACCTCTCTCGTGAATCTATCGATGAAAGCGTTCTTGCTTCTCAATTTCTTGAACTGAGCCAGGATTTTACTGAACATCGGTGCGATACTTGTGCTATTATTGAGCAACAATCCGGAAACCTAAACAAACAAATTCCGAAAATCAAAGAACTCACAAGCAGATCAAACCTTGAACTGGGATTTCACATATGGAGATGATGGTGAGTACATGATTTTCAAAGGATTCAAATCATCCCAAGGAGCGCGATTGATGTTGTGAACAACAGACTTAATTTGTTTGTTTAGATAAGGAAGTAGAACAGTTTACATACTCGCTCAGTATAGAACGTGGAATGAAGAGCTTCTCCTTCTATATTTCCTTGAAGAAGCATCAATCCAGCTAACATACAATGTGAAGATTTAGAATGATGAGCAGTGGAAACCTTAAAAGAATCTAAGATCATTCAAAGATTCTCTGAACCATACCATCATAGATGTGGGTTTCAGGAGATAACGAATAATATCATTGACCGAAGTCTTGCGAGTGAATTTTTGGTCAGGATCGACAACAGGGGAGAAGCCTTAACTTTCAAATTATATACGAATCTTCAAGGGAACGCGTTGTCTTCGAGACAGCAAAATAATCACCTGCTTGAATGAATTTGAGAGGAGGGAAAGGATTAATATGAAGAGAGTGAATGTCAGAAAGAATTGGAGATTGGAATCTGAAGGGAGCCGTGGATGTTGACATGATTCGAGTAACCTATGGTTCAAAATCAGATTAATATTTCCGAGTGAGTTCTCACCAAAGAATTGATGTGATCAAAGGTAGGTTTCTGAGTCTGAAACTTTCCAGCAGCCAATCTGTTGAGTGCGGAATTGTCCAATACGATTACCTCATCTTATGAGTAGTAAGCAATATAATGGTCCCTCGCCAACAAACATACCTGCATGTTCAATAAGTCGTTCCATTGATAGGACGCAGTTGTATGGAGCAACAACAACATCACCAGCGGATTCATCTTGCTGTTGACTTGCAAACACCGAATAAGTTTGGATGACCTTTTTCGGGAATCTAAATAAAATTCCTAGCACATCAGAGTAGGCTGTACCTAGACTCACCTATCACGCACGTTCTCTAGGATATGAGAACCTAAACCAGAACCAGTACCTCCGGAAACGGAGTGAGTGAAAAGGAATCCATCCATACGATCACTGTTTTCCACTTCGCGCTCAATGATGTCCAATATTCTCTCATTAACTTCGCTAAAAAAACGACTCCCTAATGAGGCTAATTGTGATTTCTTGCTTACTTTCCTTGCACATATCCACTGGCCCAATTATTTCCAGCACCTCCTCCGTGCTGAGACATGAAGATGTTGTCAGTGTTGAAGAGATGATGGAAGTCTGGGTTTTGTGTGATTCCATTAATGACACGAGGTTCCAAATCAATCAGGACTGCTCTTGGGATGTAATGACTGTCATCGGCCTAAACCCTTATATAGAAAAAAAATATATGTATTCCTCACTTGGTAAAAGAAGACTTCTTTGTCATCAGTCAAATCCTCGCAAGTCTTTCGTCCGTAGCTATTGCGAAGTAATATTGACTAATTATAACTTAATGAAACCTATTAATTCCGTGCTCCTCACACATTTTCTTCCAAAAACTTTGGCCTAACTGATTTCCACATTGGCCCACATGGATACTTAGCATTTGGCACGGCATTCTGTTTTATGTTTTATAAACCGGATGACATTTAGAGAAGGTATGTCGAGAGAAGATCAACCCAGAAAGAAACTCAACATAAACAAAAGATATCTTTTAATACTCAGTTCCGAAGGAATAAATCAACAATTAGAAAATCAACAAGGAAATTACAAAGAGATCATAATTTGCTCATAAACTTCCGGTTTTCTTCTTATATGCTTTCTCAAACTTTGTCCGAATCTTGGCAAAAATCTGCAAACAGAACATGATGTGCCATATATGATATAGGAGTCTACTTCTTCTAAATCATCAAATCCTTTCAGCAATATAGGAGCAGCCTCGATTCCTTTTTTCGTTTGAAGACGGAATAGGATTTTATCCTCTAAAGGATGGGGTACGTTGTAACCACAGAACTCAACTTCAGGCCTCAAACAATAACATGGAGGAGAACTTCGTGACAAAGACTCACATCTCACAAAGAACATGCTTCAAAGAATTTCCTATAGTGTGATCTTCTTCGTAAAGAATTATTGTCAAGTTTGAGGGATCAGCCTCCAAACCCGCAGGATTCATCTGTAAAACATTGTTTCACAACACGCTCTGACTGTTTGAACCATCTTACAATCTCAATTTTCTCAAATAAACTCATGTTGGAGGAGGAGAGAGGTTGGACCTGGAAAAGGAAACCTTAACTAAACGAGTCCAACATCAGGCAGCTCGGGTAAAAGTATTCCGATAGCGTCCTTGTGATGGACTCACTTCGGTAAGGTAGACAGAGGAAGCTTAACTTCCCTATCTACCTTTTATACAAAACGAAATAAACAAATAAAGTTATCACATTTCTGTTTATGCTTGTGATATACATTTAAATGTAAACAATGTGTCCAATTAAGATATGTGCGAGAAGTGAACTCTCCAGACTTGTCTAATTGAATTCTTAAACATTTATTTTTTTTCAAATCATAACCGGCGGAAAATTAACAGAACAAATAGTCAAAGACAACCATCATTCGAAATGAGCCAAGAAAAACACCTTCCTACTCATAGTAGCATATCATGAAAGCTATCAAGAAGGAAAAGGCAGATAATCTCAAAAAAACATGTAATATTTCACAGTTCACCGGGATATTTCCAAAAAAAACCACACACACACACAACACAGTTAACCAGGTTGACATCAGAGCTAAACTTTCGTCCTATTCTTCCTGGCTTTTACGCACACAAGCCGCAACCCGTTTCTTGAAATCTGGGAAGTTTTCCCGTTGCATTTTCTAAAATCAAATTAATGTTTTTCTTATATGGACAACACACTCACAGCAGCATCAACATTAGCAGGAGATTCAAAATTGGGATCAGCAAGCATAGAAATCACGGAAAGCAAGATAGTTTCAACGGTGTGCACTGGAAGCCAACGTTCCTCAGGTCTTTCATAACCCCACCTACAAAGAACAAAGATTACAGCGTGTCCTAATCTCTCTCTTACTTATCATCTCCTGGATCATGAAGAATCGAGATACAAACATTACCATCTTTGTCAACTGGAAAATAGAGTTTGATAAAGCAAGTGAATAAGAGTCATACTGTTTGGATGGAAGATATCTGATACGAACTTCATTTTGGGCGGTTTGAGAGGATAATCGCCGGGGAAATCTAAAGTGGCTTTGAAAAATCCTCCTTCACTAAACCAGACAAAAATAACAGTTTGAACTATATTACATGACTTACTAAAGAGTGTCAGGTGGGCCAATAACTAAAACTTCCCATTTGAAAATGTTGTCATCATCCACGAGACCAGCAGAGAATCCTTCGACTGGGAGTCTTCTAAGTTCTTAAATCAAAGCGTAAATCTTAATACTTAATGTTGTAATGTTTTCCTCACCAGCTAATTGTTTTTTAAGAAGCAAAGTAGCTTGTTGGGTCATTTCGAATCAGCAACCGATGAAATTTATAAAAAAATCGGCGACGAAAAAAGCGTGAAGAAATAAAGCACACTTGCTATCTGAAATTTTATTTATAAAGGGCGGGAAACCCACATAATGGTCTTAGCGCGCCTTTCAATCCGTTTTCATAGCTATGTTTACCTTTTCGTCATATATGGAAAGTTTAATAACATTTGGTTGTTTTAATAACATGTATTATGAAGAAAATGTATAATTCTGGTACGTACTACAAACTGTCGCTTTCCATTTCATTTTTGTAGACGTTGTGAGTCGGTTGCAAATTGATTTTTTCTTTTTCCGATTTTTCGCTTTAGTGCCTTCTTTGAATATTCATCTTCATTATAGAGGGACATCTTTTTTTATAACATAGTGCTTTCTGGGTATAACATGAATACCAAGTCCTATCGTTTCGGAAATAGGGCACTCTCATCATGTAATATGAATTTTATCTTCTTCTCATTGCGAATTTGATCTAATTTTTCACTAACGTTCCAATTAAAAATAATTCCTTTCAAACCCTTACTGTTTATTTTTAATTTCAAATGGACATTCATATCTATGAATCAATCCTTAAAAAGCTCGGCTTCATTTCCGCAGAACATTTTTTCTTCCCTCTCTGAACAAATTTACCTTCTGTAGAAAATATTGATTTCCAAATATTGTTGCAAGCTGTATAAATAGTGAATTTGTGGCTGCTTTGTTAAACGTCTGAGATTTGTTGCGCCGCCCATTTTATTGCGCTCAATCGCGTGATTTTGACGTACGTGAGTTCTTTGAAGAAGCTTAGAGCATGTTCAATACCGTAACAAAGAGTGCGACCGTAAGAAGTACAATGGTGAGCTATTGGCTGAACCATAAGATAAGTATACGGTAAGAAACTGTAGTCAGGAGTACATCTCATAGTTTTGATATCTCGAGAGTACTTTGACAGACATCCTCTGATAAGAATTATATTTTTCAAATACGAGCTGTTGTGTCTGATATTGTGAACAGCGCAGAATACAACCATTAATACTATTCGTTATCTCCCTCCCTGTTGAAACCACACGGTTTCAATTCTTTTGGTACGATCATGAATGAATGAATCAGCGAGAATTTGTCAATGATTCGTGAGTAGGTGTCTGCTGAAGAAGGTTGCCAGTGTTGGAATAGCCCCATCCACCCGTCTGTCGTGATGGTTGATCCATCATGTAAAGCCTGAATACAGGACTCTTTGGCACAACAGCTGTTCGGCCTGGGACTGCTTACATGAATCAACCGTTATTGTGACGACAGAAACCCTAACTATCCCATGCTCTTTCATCATTCGCTCCATATTTTCCAGCTAACAAAGATCCATCCATTTCGATTTTTCATTTGGGTGCTTTGCTTCATGAACTTTGATGTATTCAACTTAATAATTTTCCTTCATTGTTTCTTTTGTTCTTTGACTGTATTCAATTATTACTCATCTTGAAGTTGAGTTTGTATCTTCCTTAACAGCAATTAAAGAAAAAACTACTTCCGCCGATTCATGAGTCATTTCCTAGTCTCTGCGTTGGCTCGCTAAGTAGCATTTCCGTTCCGGAACTGTAAGTCTCTATCTCTCGTTCACGTTACAATTGAACAGTTAATACAACGATGTTTTCAAATAGGTTTGAGCTTGACATTCATTGTAATATCTGCCAAACGCGTGCCTTGCATAGAAAGCTAGAGACCTCTTCCTTACATCGCTAAACAACCGTTTATGCAAAACGCTGCGAAAGCTTACAAGGTGTGAACATATTTGTTGAAAAGCTTTCTTGCTATATCGTTCTTGTATTGAAACAGGACAAGCCAGAGATCGAACCTCACATCCTTACCATAATCTAATAACAGTTTATCTATCGTCACCGAATAACATACATTTCTGCTATTTACGGTAGCACTTTTGTTACTGTACGTCAAGAATTGATAGTCTCTTCGAAGCATACAAGTAAAGTTGCGCAACGGAGCGCACAAATTCAGGCGGAGCTTGTGTCTCGAGCCTTTAAGTAAACAAAACTTGAATTTTAATAGTTTCATAATCAATCGGAGCGTCTCATTCATCCATTTTTGTTCGGTTGATGCTCAGGATTTCTTACTCTCTCTCTCTAACGGGATATATGGCAACTGTCTATAATTATTATGGTTTCCATTATTGACAACTTGCTTGTTGAAGCCTTGCCTCTCACGTTCGTATTTGAGAAAAAATTTATTCTCTTGGAAGTTTTGCAGCCTTTGTATAGATTTCTTTTCAAGAATACTCTGGCATTTCTGTTAGAAGGCGGATGTATTTTTTTGATTACCCCTTGGGTTCGATTTTTATCCTCCCTTTGTTGGTTGGTTTTCTCATGCTGCTGTTTCGCTCTGCGTTCTGCTTATTGCCGGAGGGAGTGGCTTGGTCCCCAAGGGGCGTGGCTCCAAGGCGGGGTCTGCCCATTGTGGCTAGCAGCCAACTACGTCCGCAATTCCTCATGAACACCCCATATCTTCTTTTATTTTTTTCTCATTTTATTACAAGTTTATAATATATGCATAATCTTGAGATATTAACTCCATAATGTATAAATTGTTTCATTTCTTTCTTTTTCGTACTTTATCTGAGATCGATATTTGAGTTTTCGGCTCTGGTCTCCCAACACCTCCCATTTAAGTGTGCGCGCGTTGCACAAAATCGATTACCGTAATCGAAAAATAGAGAACTAATAGAAAATTTAAGCTTTAAATTTAATTAAGTCAATAAAGATTAAGCATCAAGAAAACTGCAATTTTTCCACATATTTTTGAAAGAAATCCTCGATTTTTAACTGAAATTTGAACAAGCTAACCCATCATTCCTCGAAGCTTAGCATGGTGTACTGCGTACAGATGTCAAAGCTTCATGGACTAGTCGGGGCTTGTATTACATGAGCTTATTGCTTTTGAACCTCGTTTTGCACTTGTTTCCATATAAATCCCCATAAATCTTCATAGTTCTCTATAAAAAAAATGAGCAAAGTAACCCTGACGTGCACAGTTAAATGGGCGGAGTCAAAAACCGAGAGGTGTAGAGGACCAGCGCCGAGTTTTGTTTGCACTAATGCTTGCGCGAAGCTAAAGTTGCTCATTTCAGGTTTCCATAATGGTAGAACTGCTTTTAGGAAAGCAGTAAGACCTTCATAGCACCGAATTCAGTGTTAATAGATCGTTTTGTGACGAAGTGACAAGTAAGAGACTAGTATTATGGGTTCTTATGCGTTGTCCCCCCCCCCCCCCGGTGGCCACGACCGTTTTTGCCGTTTTGCGCACGTTCTTGGTTTTAAGAAAGTTGAAAAAAAATTTCTTGATCAAATGAGCCTTTTATTCTAGCCTGAGCCTTTTTAAAGAAATCTAACCTTATTTTATGAAGAATACCTAAGCCTTTTTCGTACAAAAACCAAGACCATGCGCAAACGGCAAAAGGGGCGGAGAAGGAGGGGAAATAACGCATAAGAGCCGTATTTTATGTTTTTTACAATTCGAAACTTGCAATTTTTTCAATTTATTTTTGTTTTGCCATTTATAGAATGACGAAAGATCGTCTTAGCGCCTTGAAAGCTGCCCAGTCAGAAGATGAGCAGGATGATGACATGCAAATGGACACGGGCAATGCCCAATATATGGAAGAATTTTTTGAGCAGGTCATTGTTTCGTTCATTAATTGCATTACTTTCCGTAATTTTTCATGTTATTCCCTTAATTGAAAATATTTCTTGTTTACATGAGTTTCGAAATTCCCTGTTTCTGCCAGTTTTCTCTTTGAATAAGGTTTCCGGCGTTGCTAGACCACATTTGCCTGCCAGCATCGTATCGATTTTGAGGCCTTTTCTATGATTTGGAGTAGCTTTGGCAGCATGCCAACCTAAAAAGAATTTGGGACTTATAGCCGATTTTGTTTCTCAATGCATTTGCAATAGGTAGAATGCGAATAAGCTTCTCCGGAAAAGGCAGAATGCCCAGCTATATTTGAGACGAAACAGAGGTTATTCAAATTGCTGTTTTAGGTCGAAGAAATTCGAGGGAGTGTTGATTTAATTGCGAACAACGTCGAAGAAGTCAAAAAGAAGCATTCTGCTATTCTTTCCAATCCTGTAAATGATCCCAGTACGTTTGGTCTCAAGTCCATGTCTACAACGATGTTGTTTCAGAAACGAAAGAGGAGCTCGATGAGCTCATGGCGAGCATTAAGCGAACAGCTAATAAGGTGACATTAATTCAATTTAAAGTTGTTTGGCATGTCTTTATTAAAGGTCCGAGGAAAACTAAAACTGATTGAGAATGCCATAGAACATGATGAATCAGGTGGTCAAATGAACGCAGATCTGAGAATTCGGAAGACACAACACAGCACTTTATCGAGGTAATTGCTTGAGATTTGATATGTTTCCTCATTTGAAACGATAATTAGGCGGTTCGTGGAAGTAATGACGGATTATAATAAGACCCAGACTGATTATCGAGAACGCTGCAAAGGTCGAATTCAAAGACAGCTGGACATAGGTAGGATTTGAGATATGCTCGGGAAATACCTCTAATACTTTAGCCGGAAAACAAGTCGGTGATGAAGACTTGGAAGAGATGATTGAAAGTGGAAATCCCGGAGTCTTCACGCAAGGAATCATCACAGACACCCAACAAGTAACATCTCATTGAAATTTATGAAACAACCGTTGTCGTTCTTAGGCTAAGCAAACGCTGGCAGATATTGAAGCTCGTCACAATGATATTATGAAATTAGAAAGCAGCATAAGGGAGCTTCATGATATGTTTATGGATATGGCTATGCTTGTCGAAAGTCAAGTAAGTCGGCTCTTGTTTGTCTTTGTTTTCACCTTTTTGCATCGTCTTCTATTGATTAGCTTTCGTATTCTTCTAAATTATTAAGGAATAGTAGTTAGATATTCTATCCGAATCGTTCACTGTTAAAAACACTTTCAAACATTCCTGATGAAACTATACAAAAACGGATTTATGGCTATTTCATTCATACTATTCAATATTCAGGGTGAAATGGTGGATAGAATTGAATATAATGTGGAACATGCCAAAGAGTTCGTCGACAGAGCAGTCGCAGACACAAAGAAAGCTGTCCAATATCAAAGCAAAGCTCGTAGGGTACGTTTTTTTTTGTATTTTATCCCCTCTCCAGCAGTTTGCTTCATGTGGTTATCTGTTTAATGTGATGTATGAAGTTAAACATGACAACCAAATGCTGGAGGGCGAAGTGATTGTGTATGTGTACGTGTTCGTATTTGTTTCTGTGAGCTTGTGTGTGACGTCCGATGTGATCCTAAGAATTTCCTATTTCGGCCTTGTGTCTTCTGTCAACTAGAGACGTTTTAGGATAACATGCGGAAAGCATGCGTCTCGTAGTCGCTAGCTATTCCTGTAATCGTCTAAGTTTTCGTAGACGGCGGGAAATGTGCATTTCTGTTGTTTTACCAATATATTTCCGAAGAGTCAGTCTTTCGCTGGCGCAGAGGGAACGATATCAGATGCCTAATCCGTGAATTTGTAACCAGTCCTTCTCTTTCTATTGATTTTGCGTCTGCTTTCTCCTCTCTCACTTTCTATGCTGATGCCAATGAGCTAAGGCGAGCTAGCTTGCTTATCGAGCTAGAAGAAGGAGGGGACATGGAGGAAAACATCGGACTTATGGGCAGCTTTCATGCTCGGGGATTTTTTCATATTCCCATATATGGCTTGTATGAGTTTTTAAGACCGATCTCAAATGTCTATTCCGATTATGACTTCTGGTTTAATGGGAATTCCGTAAAATATAAGCGAACGAGAGAGACAAAAAAAGGCTTTCGCATGTATTTTCAACGTTTTACAGAAAAAAATATGCATCATTCTGACAGTTATTGTTATTCTTTTACTTGTCATCGTTGGAATTATTATTTGGGTGGCAATAACAGCATCGTCTACAAAAAGTGTGAGCAACGTGGTAACTGGAGGACAGCCGTCGTCTTCGGCAGTATCTTCGGATGCACAAGGAACAGGGCGAAGCCGATATGGCAAATAGGATATTTTAAAGAAATCGTATAGCCTTATTAAACTAAGCTTCCCTCCTTCCCATTCCATTTTTCCGCTTTCAGTTATTTAAGTCTAGATTATTTATGTCTTAGTCTACTTGACATAACGTCAGCCCATAATCATTCAGCGTTTTCGAAAAAGTATTGACCGCTCATTTCGCGCTTAAAATTACAGAAAGCCCACGTGGAACGGCCCGCTTAGTTATATTTTAATTATTCACAAACACAGACAGCAGCGTCGTGAACGGTTGTGTATATATTTATCATCTTCAACAACACACACACACCGAGCGCATTCCAAACATAGTTTGGAATCGTGAAATATGGTGATCAGAGTTTCTATTTTAATCTAAATTATTCAAAAATTTCGGGTTTTCTTTTTCTAATTAAAAATTTTTTTGGAGAGAAACGTGGGAGAGAGAGCTCAAATGTCTTATAGGGAAGATGCACAATTTTCTTCCTTTTAAAAGCCATTCATTCATCTTCTTCTGCCAGCCTTGACATTTGCCAATAGGAAGCATGAGTGCCACGGGAAAGTTAGCTTTAGACGTTTTCGTCTTAAGATCTAATAATTTACGTGTATTTGTATTTTTATTTACGTGTCATGTTGCATTGTGATGTCTTTTTGTTGTGCTCGTACATATATTTAACTATAAATAGAATTCGGTGGTATGAATAGTTCTACGCATTTCGTTGTTGTTGTGTTGTTGTTGTACCGTGATGCTGTGATATGTCCGGCTGTTATACTTGTTTTCTCTTTCAGAAGAAGATCATGATTCTCATCTTTGTCGCAATTTTGATCGGCATTCTCTGTCTCATCATCATGAGTTATGTTCCAATGCCCTTCTAAATGATCTCAAAATAGCTTAACGCCTAGCCTCATCAGTCAGAAACGGCGTGAATCGTCTTGCGTATGATTTGCCAACTTATTAATATTTTTATATTTATTGCGATAATTTATATTTGTCATAGTTAAGTAGGTTTAGAGTTGTGATCAAACGAGAAAAGATCGCTGATTGCAGTTGAGGTTCAAACATCTCAGCTCAATATTAGCAGAATATATTCGTTTTGATTTCACCAAAGCGCTCGATAAGTAGAAGCTATTGCTTTTTTTGCAGATTTAGCCATTTTACTACGAGGTTAGAGTTTTCTTAATAACTAATTCTGCGTTTAGTAGACCTCGTTAGTTCGTAAATGACATACAAAGTGAACACAATTCAGCATAATGCTTTCCTTTTTTGGTAATTTATTGTAATAATAATAAGACGCGCTCTTCATATGGTAAAGGAAATGTTTTGATAACGTTGTTCTTATAATTTATTGAGTAATAATGCCCATACGTTTGTCTCTTTCAGTTGGATCTATGAGCTCATAGATGCTCAGCACATCCTAAGATCTCCTGAATTTGTTTTTACAGACCAATAAGTTCTAGTGTTAATGTCACTTTTAGATCTCTCATTTCCCGCATCTCATCCCCCCTCCCTCCCCGTTCTCATAACCCTTCTTAGATCTCTTTTTTTGAGTTTTTTTAAATTATTGTGGCGTTAATAAATAATTTTTTAAATCACTTGTGTACTGTTACTGTCTGTCGTACGTCTGCGTCTTACCTCTTCACGTATTCATGTTCATGCCATATATGTCATTAAACCCATTTCAGAAGAAGATCTGCATCATATGCACAATCACTATCATCCTGTCAGCCATTATCATCTTCCTAATTGTACATTTTGCGAAAAAAGCATAATTTGTTAGTTTAAAACATCAAAACGTATATTAAAGTCAGAGCATGTAACCTGAAGACAATCTTTTCAAAGTTCAAACTGTGATATGAGTGAATTGTTATTAGATTTCTATTGTTTTTAATTTATTAATAATAAAATTTCTTTTTTACTCCTTCCATACGTTTGATTGGTTCAGCTCTGCCAGTGCCATTATCTGATTGAGGCGGGAGTCCACGCAAACTTTATTCTCCCACATGTTTTTATGTTTCTTTCATGACTAAGCATCAGAAATTCATAATTAATTGATATTTCAAATATTTCTTTTCAAGCACTTCGTCGAACTTTGAACAAACATGGATGTCGACATTTACCAGGATGAGTACCAAACAAGGGATCTTATTCGTGACGAGAAGACTAATTTCGTTCAGAACGAACTCGTTTTTCAAGTAGGTTCCTTTAAGAGGAATTGTCAATTCCATCGTTTTGTTCCAAATTCTAACTTTTCCCTATTTCATTCCTGCAGAACTCCTTAAACTGCTCCGGCACTCGTTTACTATTGTGTGGTGCTGATGGAAGGCTATCGATTTGGAACCTTAAGGATAACGGACAGTGGCAATTAGCTGCCCAATGGGAGGTTAGATGTTCTTTCCTCATTTCCTTTCTTCTGCTTCTCCTCGCCAAAAACTCATTTCGATTGAGTTTAGGTTCATGGGTCACCAGTAGTTGAAGGAACATGGGCACATCCTGAGTTTGGAGATTTAATAGCAACACGCTCAGCTGATAAAAGTGTTTATATATGGCAAGAGATTCCTTCTAGCGGAAAATGTAAATTGCTTATGTTTTCGGACAGTTTCACTTATATTCCACCTTTTAAGCTAACAAGAAATGGATGAGAAAAGCTTTCATTCCTGATAGCACAGACACAGTGACTTCCTTCGCTTTTGGGCCACGCCATCTTGGATTAGTACTGGTAGGCCGCATTTGCGAGATGAGAGCATGCTCGAGACACCCAAACTGTCTTTAGGCAACAGCTAATGTTAGAGGAGAGGTTCTCGTTTACGAAGCAATAAACCCAATGGACACATGCCAGTGGAAGCTCATACACAGCCTTCAGGTGAGAGTGAACAGAAAAAACAATTCTTAGAAGAAATGAGAAAACTTCTTCTATTGGCGTATTTCCATGTAATTTCGTGACCATTATTCATTAAGCCATTTTACGCAAGATGCAGTAGCATTAGTTGGTCTTCTTCTCCAGTTCACAAAGTCTTATTAGCTGTTGCGACGGACGATTCGAAACTAAAAAGAGATCAACGGGTCATAGTTTACGAAATGAATGAAACATTAAAGTTTGTCACGAAACTCTCAATACTTCATAACCTTTTCCTTTGTCTCAGGAAGTTTCAACATCTACACAACATACGCTTGGATTTGCCGGGCCCCGTTTTTCATCTCAACTTCTCACCCATCATTACTCAAAATGGACATGAGTTGGTTGTGTCCGCTGGCGAAGTTTTCGTTTTTAATTTGCGGTTAAAACTCGACGAAGATGAAACTGAGACAGAATTGCCCGAAACTTCGGATATTTCAGCTCTCAAGGTTTATTTATCCTTCTTCTCCTCACAAGTCTTCTAATCGATTTCCTTTTTAGATTTGCTCGTTGGGACTTGGAGGCGTTGGTGATAAATGGAAATGCAAGTTTCTAGTCGACGGAAACACAATCATTGCCTCAAATTCTTCCGGAGTTAGGATTTTTAGATGTATACTAATAATCTCAGAATTCCTCTCAACTTACACATGTCTCTTATAGCGAACTTGAAACAAAAATGGACACAAGTAGCTCAAGTAAATGCTGACACAGTCACAAAGAACATAAGCAAATGCCATTCAACCAAAGGTGCTTCCGGCGAAGAAGACGATGGGCCAGGAATCATTCCTGCCGTCGAAGATTTGGCTTATTAACTCAACAAGCGTTTCTTTTTCAAGAAACGGACTCATCAGTGATCTTCAATTAAATCATCATTATCATTAAATAAGACGTGTTCTCACAGGTGTACTCTACGTTATCTTTTATATATGTCCTTCTGTGTTAAATGAAGTTCAATCTGCCATAATAGCTTTCTCCATCTATGTGTTTTGTTGAAAAAATCAAGCAGTCGACTGTTATCTTATCGTTCTCTGCGAAATGAACTTCAACTGTTTCTCCCTGAGTTCTTAACCATTTTAAAAGCATTTGTATGTTTTCTGATTATGTGAGAAGCACCACGTGTGGTAGACGGTGTTTGCTCTCTCTCCTTCCATCTTTTATTCCGTTTCTTTTGCTACTTGGCTTGCGGAAATCAAAACCCTACGTATTCAGTAAAGGTCGTTGGTCGCAGAGATTGTAACTACATACTCTACGTCTCTAACGAAGTTCCAACAGTATCTGTTCAACCATGAGAACTTCCAACTTCTTTGTAGTTTCTTTCATTTTTATGAGATTGGCCCTTGGCTTCTTTATCAAGCTTCATAAAGTTACGGCGAAGTTTTAATCATTCGAGCTGCACCTCATTTGATGACTTAATTTGGACAGGAGCCGGTCATTGACCTTTATGATGACATTTACTATTTTTCTTGACCTCTCATCTGATCTTATCTGTTATCAGCTTTCAAAATCTTTTCAATCTCCACCTCTAAATTTTTTGGATGCCATATCACAAAAGTTTTGTCATCATACTCATCATTGCTATTGATTGTACTATACCTATTGACCTGCGCCTCCAGCACATACCACGTCACCTGTTGGTATTTTTTTATCAGAAATGGTTTTGAAGAGCCATTTACGAATTCATTTCTAATTACTTGACTATCCAATTGTCATGGTTTTCTTTTTCATTCAAGTTGATGTGACCTACACATGGGAGCAGTATCCCTTTGCTATCAAACTGTTGAAACTCGCAGTGAACACTAGTTCTCGTTCAGTTACACATTCTGCTTTAACACAAACGTTTAGAGACATTCAATGACAATAGGGTTTTGTTTTCTAAAAACTTCATCATGCATGGTTTCATAAAACATTTCGTCAGCCTCTTATCTATTTGTTTAACTTGTGATTTCCTCTAGAAAGATATAAAGATGCGCACTTCTTGTCTTAATCATTTTTAGTATAAAACATTCTTTCTAGACCAACATGACTGTCGGATGTGCTACTGGTGATGACATTATCTCTAAATGGCTTGCATGGGATAAGGTAGTTCAGTAGATTGAAATAGACAATTTATAATCTTCTGTAGAATGAGAAGACTAGAAACGAAATTCAAGCCTTAGTTAATGCTAAGGACTGCACTGCTCTGAAGGCTCGAATGATGGGGAAACTTGCTTTCGGAACAGCTGGTTAGTGTTAATGAGGGAAAAGTATGAACTGAACAGAAAATTAATTCATAGGTATTCGTGCACCTATGGAAGCAGGCTTTGCTCGTTTAAACGATTTAACCATCATCCAGGTCACCCACGGCTTTGCTAGATATATAAACGTGAGTTGGTTTCATTGTTCTATTATACCCACGCGTGAATCGGTTGCACATTGTTTTTTTCCTCTTGCTCAACCAATATTCAATTTTTCCAGACTGTCGTCAGTGATACTTCCGGAGGAGTCGTAATTGGATATGACGGCCGTCACAACAGTAGAAGGTTTCCTTTTCAGTAGTTTGTTTGTTTCATTCTTCAAACTTAGATTTGCTCAACTAGCAGCCAACGTGTTCATTCAAAACAATATCCCAGTATATCTTTTTGACAAGGTTACTCCAACCCCTGTAGTAGTAAGTTTTTCTTTGAACTTGTAGCTTGATTAACGAGCAATTGCAGTCTTGGGCTGTTGTTAACCTCAAATGTGTTGCTGGTTTGATTATCACTGCATCACATAACCCCAAAGAGGATAATGGTTATAAGGCTTACTGGAACAATGGAGCTCAAGTGTGAAAGCTCTTTTTTAAAGAAATTGTTGGTGTTTTTATAGATTATTGGGCCTCATGATATTGAAATTATGAAAATCGTCGAAGCTGAGCCAGAGCCAAAAGCTGAATATTGGGATCTTGACTTATTGAAAACTCCATTGTTAAAGGATGCTGAACCAGCAATCAACGCCTATTTCGCTTCTGAGGAGAATTTATGCTTCAACAGGTATATCAATAAGGAGTCGAATGGTTCGAGAGTTTAACATCTTCAGAGATATTAATCAACAAACTCCACTCAAGTTCACTTATTCTGCATTCCATGGAGTTGGTTATCTTTTCACCAAGAGAATGTTCGAAGTTTTCGGTTTCCCCGAGAGCAGTTTCATCTCTGTAGCTGAACAACAAGAACCCAACCCAGATTTCCCTACCATTCCCTTCCCAAATCCAGAAGAAGGACGCAAAGTTTTGACACTTTCGTTTGAAACTGCTGATAAGAATGGTTCAACAGTGATTCTTGCCAACGATCCAGACGCCGACCGTATCCAGCTCGCTGAGAAACAACAAGAGTACGGAGTACTCAAAATTTCCTTTATTTATTAATAATTCTACAGTGGTGAATGGAGAGTATTCACTGGAAATGAAATGGGAGCTCTAATCACTTGGTGGATCTGGCACAACTGGAGACTTCAACACCCAGACGAAGATGCCTCCAACGTTTATATGCTCAACAGTGCTGTTTCATCTCAAATCGTCAAAACTATTGCTGAGAAAGAAGGTAGTGCATGATAACACAACTTAGCTTATCATTGATTTATAGGTTTCAAGAGCGATGTCACTTTGACTGGTTTCAAATGGATGGGAAATAAAGCTGATGAGCTCCGTCAGCAAGGAAACAAAGTTATCTTAGCCTGGGAGGAAAGCATTGGCTTCATGCCTGGTCAGACCATGGACAAAGTGAGTAAAACTGAGATAACGGTCAATAGTTGTTTTTGAAGGATGGAGTCAGTTCTGCCGCAGTTTTTGCCGAAATCGCTGCTGTTCTACATACACAAGGCTTGAGCTTAACCGACAAGTTATTCCAACTGTATGAGAAGTACGGTTTCCATTTGGTTCGTTCAACCTATTGGTTCATCCCTGATGCTGATGCACGCACCAGACTATTCGGGACTCTCCGTGAAAACTTGAAGGTATTTTTTGAAATTAAAAAAATTTCTGATATTCGTATCTAGTACCCTGAACATATCGGAAAAGAGAAAGTGAAGTACGTACGTGATTTGACCATTGGACATGACAACTCTCAACCTGAGAACAAACCTGTATGTTTATCTGTTATTTGAACTTCATCCGATACATTTATTTAAGTTATTGCCAATTTCTACTTCATCTGAAATGATTACTTTCACTTTGGCCAATGGAAGCATCGCTACCTTAAGAGCATCTGGAACCGAACCAAAAATCAAATATTACATTGAACTTATCACACCTGCCGGAAAGAAACAAAGGTTTCATTTGAGCTGTATCCATTAAACTAATTGTTCTAAATTTAGTGAACTAGACTCCGTCTTGGAAGAGCTGGAGCAATTGGAAAAGGATGTTGTTGCAACTCTTCTCCGTCCTGAACAATTTGGATTGATTCCAAGAAAATAATTTTATACGTTTTAGATTGAAAGATACAGATTATATTCTATTCTAATTCACTTTTAGACTAATAAAGTTTTATAATATAAATGTATAATGTTAATATAATCTACTAGATGAGGTCTACTGAATGCAATTACCTATTCATCTGAATATTAACCAGCAGAGTTGAGCGGGTTAAATTGCTTCAACTGAGTGACGTTATGACTTGGAGAAAGAAGGAATGATCAAGTACTGTCAGCTTATTATTCTTGTCACGTTCTGCACAACCACTGATGAAAAGTAATCGAGAAGAATGAAAAAAGTTCATTCGGCTAGAAATTGAAAAATGAGCGGTTGCACTCATGACGAACAAACATCATTCGATCTTGCATGAAACGATATCAAAGCTTTTCATTCTCGTTCGACTTCTCAAACTGCTAGCGGTTGTGCTCAGGCGAAAAAACCTTCATATTACCCCTGCATAAGACTTCGTTTCTTAGAAATCAACTATGATGATGATCTGTTAGGATATCAGAATAGACCGATACCGTAATCTATTCGGTTTTGCAAGAATTTTTTTAAAAATGAACTCGATGCACAAATAATAGGTATCAATACGGTGCTTGAAAGCTTTGTGGTATTCGAAGTTCCAAGATGAATCTGATAGTTTTGCAAATACGTCATAATCTTTTATCTTTGAGTTATTAATAAACGAGTTGATGTGTGTGGCTTCTTTCATACACATGTGTTCAAATGCGAAATCTTCTTTCAGTTCATTTATTCTGTTAAGATATAATTGTGTGATTCATAGTTTCTTCGTATATTTATAGCTCTTTCATCTGCATTAGAAAACTGCTATATTTTGACTTCAATAATGAGAGAAATAATCTCGATGATTGTGGGAAAATTGAGTTTCATAAAGAGATCGTTGTTTGAAGTCTTTATGAATTCATATTAGTTCATGAGAAGGGAGAGTACTGAGTTCCAGAGTAACCTTTTGGATTGCATACTGTCTCCTCGAACAAGATAACTATACGTAAATGCTCAATAATAAACAAAAACATGCTTAAATCGATATGTTCCAACAGTCTTCATTGAGTACTTGTTGTCTAGTTCATAAATGACTGATCGCAGTTGTTGTATCGACCTTATTCAGTCGTGGCTCCGTATAAAAGAAAAATGGCTTAGAGATGATGGGGATGCTTTGAAGATCTGAACAGCTTAACGTTTTACGTTCTTGGCTTCTAACTACCTATTTTAACTTTTTGTAAATAAAAGTCATTGAGGAATATGAAAACGAAGCAGTTGAATATGCCGTGAAACGAACTAATCAGCCAAATGGTAAGAGAAACATCTGAAATTGTAATTAAATACAATTTAATGATAGAAATGTTTGTTTACAGAGTGCTGTATTCATTTTGAAGAAAACTATGACTGCTGCAACTGCAGAAGGAATTCCATGAACCAATACGGGTATACCTAGCTGTATCAAACTATTGGAAACTACAACGAATTGTGAGTTCACCTGTATTACCATGTTATTCAATAATTTCAATTGTAGTCGCTTTGTAGCTTCGGAGAAGTTGGATTTCTTCTTTTTCAGTAAGTGGAAGCTGAGATACAGTACCACTGTTGCAATTACCAGAAGCAATGAGATTGTGCCGACCAGAATATTCATGGTCCACTTTTGTATAGTCTGGTTATAGGCAAACGCTATGTCATAACGTTCTGTCAAAACAAAATGACTTGGGCATCGCTAAAGATGTTCATATTTGTTGTTTGATGTTCAAGACCTAATAAGTACCTTCTGTAACTGCCTGACGGCTTCCTTCTTATCATACAGTGATTGAAAGACTATGGTAGCAACAGTAAACGGACTTACACCAGCCACAAAATAGAAAGCAAGAATCAGTTTATAGAATTTTGATTCCGTGAGTCCTATGATCACAAGGAACCGATGTAGAACCGGCAATCCAGCGCAAGTACATACATATATTTGGAACAAAATATCGAAATAGGAATCTAGATGGGCCTCAACACTCAGTATTCCGGCAGTAACAAACAGAAGAGATGGCATATACTGTACATGAGCCTGAAAGTTCGGAGATTAAGCTATATGCTATGTGTCATACCGATAAGGCATTCAAGATGGATCCCAAACATACGACTGTATGGAAGACGAGAATCAAGTTTTTGTATCTTCTATCCACACAAGAAGGTGTACAGGAGTGAATAACATGGAATGTATAAACAGCAAATGGTATTGTTATGAATCCAACGGAAACAGAAGTTGGTGCATACCATGATGGAGGACTCTCGTATTTGATTGGACATTCATTCATCTTCAAATGCTGCTACTTCAACTGAGCAGCAGTTTCATAATTAAAACCGTTTTCATAATCGAGAGTTGATAAATGGACGATTTTTTTGGTTTGTAAACTTCAATAGAAACTACGAAAGCTTTCATTCGAGATGTTTGTTCTCATGAATGGGAAAAGAGGGCTCAGTGATCACATTCATGAGGTAATGCTGAAGAGTTATCGTAAATGAAGTGTTGATAATTGATAATTAAAATGCAAGTTGGTGTTGTTTAAGATGTTCCTCCGTTAGTTCTCCGTATCACATGAGATTCACTGCCACATATTCCATAGGACTCTATGAACTTAGTGAGCTTGGTTCTTGATTCTCGCCCACTTAAACGATAATGAAGCTCAGATTAACTGCTCTCTTCTGAAATTAGCATAATGACGTTTCACGTGCTAGAGCCGTTCCAAAGTGATTCATTCGATTCCGTGTCAGAGCTGGAAATGATTCTGTTCTGAATAAGTCCATTTTGAGGGGTTATGGGGCTTTTATGTGAAACATGATAGAATTTAGGTTTGACAGGATTGTTTCATTTGAAAGGGAAGACGATTGGTGGGAGCAAGTGAAGCGCTACCTCTCCGAGCATTTCATAGAAAACTAGCCACCCGATTGAACGATTTCATGTTGACATGTTGTTGTTGTACATGCGAAGCAACGAAGAAATTGGATTTATTTTTAGGTTTTTCGTATATAAACAATAACATCCTTTCAATATAATAAAGCTGATTAATATGCGACACACCTGTAATACAATGAATTGAGCACTAACCATATAGCACCGAACCGATAATAAATTAATTAAACTATTTTACAATTATTATATTTGATATGTTAAAACGCTCTTTCATGGCTGGATGAAACTGTCCCTCACACATTAACGGGAGCTTAGATGGAATGGATTAATTAAGCGAAAAGTAACTTCGTCAGACTCATGGCTGGGATTAGACTTTGTTTACAATGCTTTGAAGATTGGTATCCAGGATGAAACGTCCTTCATGGTTTTCTGGAAAGGTTGTTCATATACAAAGAAGAAGAAGTTACTCTTACTGTGATTGAGGCTTCGATGACTTTAATCTTTGATCTTCTATTTCCTATAAGCTGGGAATCTATGTCTATACGTTTTTCGACTTCCTCAAACTCTCGAAGAGTGTCCATATTTCCCGCTTCATCTAAACGGAAGGTGAGAAGAATTGTTTTCAACAATGATCTCGAATTACTTGTCGTTGTCGATTCCTTCTGCTGTGAAGAAACATCCATATTATATTCTGTTACTATTTTCGTTAAGTCATAGGACAAATGAAGGATTGTGGCAATAAGGTTACAAGCAGTCTGAAATGGAAGTGTTCTAAACTGTGATGCGACTCAATCCTACGTCATGATTTCCATCGCAGAAGAACGCTGTCTTCAAGTTAGAGAGGAATTTCTGATGAATAACCGAAGCGGATTCAATATCGGCTACGTTTTCCAATCTCGCTAGCATGTAAGAGTACTGCGTTTGGACCTTGAAATGAGCAAATATGACCAGAAACCCATGAGAGAACATACCATTTGAGAAGTGTATTGACGGATGTGGAATAAGATTCGCGAGAATTTGTTAACGATTCTTAGACACAGCCTTTCGAACATACGAATTTCTGAAACGAGGGAACTATTTCAAAAACCATATAAGGCTTACCAGTTCGCTTCTTGTCCCGACAAACGATGGTTCTCAATTTATCGAACGCGTCTTTTATATTGGCTACAGAAAGCTCTACAGACCATATAAAGTGGAAAAGCAAGTCATAACACTCATTAGTTTTGACGAAAACTTTGGCAGCGATTCCTTGGACATGGTAGACGGGACTAAGTGGTTGTACGAATTGTAAGCGCGATGAGGAGTTAGGGGAAGTTCCAGTCTAAAATAACTTATTTTTCCGATCAGCATACTAGAAAGACTCACAGATTGTAAAATGTCAATTTTCACACAGGAATTGGTCTTGGGTCTGTAAGGAGACTTCGAAATCGCCCATACGAAAGCAGCGGAAGCATCACTTTTAGAGATGGACGTCTGCAGTCCATGCGAACATTCCCTAAAAAAACAATTAAGAAGTCCGATTCCGTTCCTTAGAATCTTACATGAGCTTATCGTAAAGAGCTCCAGTGAAGAACGGATCTTCCAGAAGAAGGAATTGTCTGAACATATACTAATAGAATAAGTTTTGAGAGTAATTCGAACTTCAGAATATTCAAATGCTCTATGAGTCTTCCTTCATCCTTCAAGCGACTTATGACTACTTTTCCGATGAGTTTAGACATAGCATTAACTATTTCGATGAGACGATCTGAGAAGATTAATATGTGTCTATCTTATCTAACTCCAGTACCTGGGTTCAATATAAGCTCTGGACATAACTCTTTGTCAATCATAGCATGGAATTTGTGAAGCTCGGTTATATCTTCACTTGTTACGAGGTGTTGCGATACTCCGATTTTGTGAATCTTAGAGAAAATATAAGATAACTCATAGCACGAGCAAAACCTTGTCGCATAAGTCTCTATCAAGGAATTTAGGATATTCTGTTACATGGTATCCCCCTTCTTTATCCGCCGTTATCATCCACTAAACATTGATAAGAAAATCCTCCAACTATAAAATACCTCGTCGTTCGGAGCAATTTCACCTTTCATGAGCCAGCGTCGGAGAGACGAACAGAAGATTCGGAACGAAGTAGTAACGCAAGAGTGGACAGTCCTAAACCAAGTTGAACTGAAGGAAACAAAAGCTGGGAAACCTCTCATGAACCGTGAATAAAGTTGATTTTAAGTAGAAGAAGGCATTGTTTAGTATTTCGATTGAAGATTGTCCCTTCAAATGAGATCTTTGCTTCAGCTTCATTCTGAAACGAACCTTTGCTATGGCGGTGAGAGTTGAAAGAACGGCTAGGTATTTGCTCCAATGAACACATTCTAATGAGATTTTCACGAGAAGCAAATGGTTAGGAGTCTAAATACACTATTGAGGTTCAAAGAGACGGTAAGCTTACCCGAAGACTGATATCACAAACGGCAGTCGCATATTCATCTAACTTCTGAGATATACCATACAACAGAGCCTTAAGAAGAATAATAGTTAGAGAGTGTTGAACGAACAAGAACTGACCGAAGACACGGTTTCTTCCTCTGTGGTTTGTACTCGGCGTTTAAGTTCTATATAAGTATTAGCTAAGGTTAGTAAGTCGTTTACTAGTTGACGGTGAGGCTGGAAGAGGATGTGTGAAATTTAGATTTTACAAAGCTCTCTCACATCAGATATTGCACAAGTTAGTGAGATAATGATATTACCGCAGCCATCATCCACAAAGTACTTTCCGGTTATGCCATGTAAGGCCCCACGTAGCTCTTTACACAACTCATCCAGGGGAACATCTGAATCAAAGCTGTGCAAGCGATATATTCAAATATATACATACAAGCAGGTTGCCCAGTAACAACTACTTTTGTAGAGGAAGAGGCATAACTTGGTGGCTCTCGGTAAGACAACATGTTCTGCTTTATAGGATCCGTCTTCGGCATACGATTATCAGCATGATTATTTAAGGGAGTTGAAAAGAAACTGCTGCTTTTTGGATGAACATTGCTGGAACATTAAACAGTTCGAACATAATTTCCCCAGAGAGCTACCTTCGTTCATAGAGAGGATTGATCACAGAACTTTGCTTTTCGACAGAGTTTCTCGTCATCGGATAGTTTTCAGTTCCTACAGAGGCGATGTCATTATAACGCTGTTGTCACTAATACCTTTACCGGATAAAGTCGAGTGTGAACGCAGGTTTGATCGGGATCTTGAACGATACACTGGAGTTCCGTTTGACTGTAGAAGTGGAGAAGGTGAGCAGACTTCTGCGATTTAAAGTAATTAAAAATTCAACTTGATGGGAAAACCTTCTTTAATTTTGTCTCTGATAGGGTCACGACTTGCTGATCGTCGTAAGAAAGGTGAATGTGAACCGGAACCTTCAAATAATATTGTTTCCATCACAGCAAAAAGCACTTACCAAGTGGTGTGGACGGATCTCTGTTAGGGTCGGATATTTCTTGCTTACAGCGATAAACATGGTTCTGAAGTCAGTTAATTGAATGTGGAAGTTAATATGAAAGCATACTTTTCTACAAGAGAATAGGAATGAAGCATGTGAATCGGGTCTTTTCAGATCTGAGCTTCTGAGGAATTCCACTTCTGTTAGAACTGCTCTATATGGCGCGGCATTCACTTTCCGTACTGAATAAGATCATGTTCATACAATTCTAAGGTACGATAAGATTCACATTTAGCAATCCCACTATTAACCACGGTTCGATCATGTTCTCGAGTGTCTTCGGCTCTGGGAGGAAAAACTTGATTGGCTATTTCTGCTTCATTCACTAGAAAAAAACGCTTCGTAGAGTTGGAGTTTTGACTTTACCTCGAGGTATGTCAAAAGCATTTTTTAGTAAAAGAGCTGCTGATAGTTGTTTTTCCCTCAAATCCGACATCTACAAGCCATTCAATGCAGTAGAATGATGAGTATTCAAAATATTTCTTGAACTTAACAAATACAACAACGAACTCGAACACATGGAAAGGTTTATTCAACAACTGACTTAATACAAATTGAAGATGTTTAAAGAAATTAGAGATGCATAAATAATAACAAAACGAACAAGGAATATGAGGAAGCTCCATTCCACTGATCGTCGCGATTCCCCATATTCCTTCACCGCAACTAACTCTTTTTCCCACCAAATTTTTTCCGTTCATAAAATAAGTCCGTTTTAGCGCTTCCCAGATTAACAATTTTCGGACATCCATCCCTGTCCTTTAAAATAACAAAAAATAAATTTGTGTATGATAATAGGAACAACCTTTTCCATTATGGTGCATTCTTTGCAATAATAAGCATCACTGATTCCTGGACCACCGCAGATAACACAACGACCCTGAAAGAAGCTATTAGAAGATGATTCGACCTTTTAATCTCACCTGATAAGATCCATAATTGCATTCATCACAAATTCTTACAAGTGAACACGGACGGACATAAGAGTCGCAGATAACACAGCGACCATCACCTGCAACGGATAGAAAGAAGTACTCAAAACTCGAACAAGCTCCACTTACACTTGTCGCATAACCTTCCAATAGCTACTCCCGGCTGCTTTCGACAAAATATTAAGTCTGGATGGTGCTTAGCCATCTATAAAAAGTGGAATATGTAAATGGGAACTGTAAAAGGAACTGTAATTTTAGCAGAAAAAATCTCCTGCGCTTTTGAAGAAAACCATTTTTCGAAAATTCGCATTGGGTCCCGCATTCTCAATAGAGCGCACAATAAAAACGCTCGGTAAGGCCTTTGGAAATGATTTAAGCAAAAAAGTGGTAATTCTGACTCTATTTGTTTATAGAAATTACTAGTGGTTCAGGATTCGACTTGAACAAAATTTGAAAAGAGGATGTTATAAAGCTTAGCCAAATATAGCTTTTGAAGGAAATTAAAAAACTGAGTGTTATAAAGGTGTGACAACCAAATTTGCCAGTCTTTAGTTTTATCATATTCCCTCCCTACCTTTCCATAAAAAGTGTCCGAAACGGTCAGTATTGATTGAAAAACCTAACATCACCACAAACGTTGCTATTGGCAACCGCTAGTTTATAAAAGGACATCAGGTCATTTTCCTATGAACACCAGCTATGGTGAACACCGCGAGCAATGGGAGAGAGCCAAACTGTCGTAAAGTAGGTGAGTGTTAAGTGATGAACATATCAGTTGATCAACTTTGTTTGTTTCTAGAAGTGTTAGGAAGTTTGCCTTTGCAAATGTCATTGTTTTACAATGCATACTTTTGTCCCATATTCTTGGTGATTGGACTGGCTTCATTCATTTTAAAAGTTCGAAAACGTGTATTAGAACGAGACTGTTAAAACGTTCTTTCCAGTATAACCATTTGTCAACCATTTATCAAGTCATACTAACAGCTATGTATATAATCTATTATACAGTTGAGGTTGTCCGACTGTTCCTAGGTTACTACGGGAACCTGGGGGGAAAGGTTTGTTCATCTCCTTATACCTTTGCATTTATATTTTCACCTATCTCCTTTACAACACCCCATGATTTTATAATCGGTCTAAGTTAGCTTTGACCTTTTATTGCCCTCCAATTTTCGTAATGCCAGTTTCCCCGAGATATCTGGTCTTGATCAGCTATTTCGGCTTGCAAACTATATCCCTTGAAGACACCGATCAGATAAATCCAAGTGATTGAAACCTAGGTCACACGTCTCTCCATTTATGAGTTATCCCGACAAGTTATGTGAAAACGTAAGAAATTGACCTATTAGGAGAGTATATGTAACACTAAAAGCTTATGAGATATACGGCTACCGATGTTTTATGATGAGCTCATGCCCTTAAAAACCCTTATCTTCAAAAAAATTATATAAACAAAGGCAATACTAGTTGCAAGAATTGAATAATAAAAGAATGCAACCGCTCTGAGCTAACACGTGAACAACTAAATGAACCGCATGCCTCGATCTTTCACGCGTCGTTCACGTGAAACGCGTGGGTTCGGCAAACTGTCACGTGAAGTTGTCAACAACTTGGAAAATGATCAAAACAATAATTGAATTATGAACTAAACTATCATGTTAAAGATATCTTATAGGAAGTAATGAGATGATCATCTGGCAAAGAATTCTTTTTTTAGATACCTGCCTTATCAGGATTTTGGACTACATCGTTGGTATTACAATTGCCCATCTCATTGTTTTTGCAAATAAACTCATCTATCATACCCTTACCAGTGGAAAGAGCCCTTTACGGTCTTCACACGATGTTCATTCTAAGCCAGGTAAGACGAGAAACGGAATGTATCTCTAAACATCTATGTCATTTCAGTTATTCTTCGGCGTGACTGTTATAAGACGGATAGCAAGGCGACAGATCGAGATGTTAAAACGGTTACTTGAAGAAGACTAATAACATATTATATATTTACACATTTATTAAAGCAAATAAATAAAAAAATACCTCAGAGACTGAAGACAACACAGATTGGAAACAGATTATGCAAAAAGGCAATATTGATGCAGGCAAGTAAGAACTGCTATACCTCGCATTCCAAATCTCAAACAATAACTCTATTATTAGTAATAAAAACAAATATAATTATCAAAAAAAATTATGCTAATTGCAAAGGTATTGCGATGTGATAATAGTTTGAGAATCTTGGCGATTCATAAGTAGGAAAGATCCAAACATATATCAAGATGTGGGTACAGATATTCAAGGATATACAGACGTAACCAATCACATAAAAAAACATGTGAAGAGGGTAAAACTATGAGGATGTGCCAAGAATATAAGGCAATTTAAGAAACTTAAATCAATGGAATGAGATAACTAAGATAACTGAAAAGCATAATCGCTGAGACAAAGAATACAATTGAGAATAACCGTCTGAAACCACGCGAACAAGTGAATAAACAGAATCCTGAACGACGTAGAAGTGATAAAATATACAAACTTATTACTAGAAATTATAAATTTACAAAAAATTATTGAGCCGCACTGGCACATTGTTTCCTTTGAAATAAAAAGGACGCTATAGCATCGACGGATTTTCGTTTCCTCTGCAAAGATTCGAATTATCAAGACTCTAAGTAAGCAAGGAACTCACTGAGAAATTCTTGGAATCTCCGGGCGGACTGCTTTCTTTCGATGATGAATCGCTTGGGACTGGTGATGAATCTGTCACCTATAATTGCATAATCAGTAATTTGCGTCCTCCTTGACATTGAACTTACGTCTTCTCCTGATCCTATTCCTGACTCAGGACCACTCGATGTTTCTTCAGGCTCTGTTTTCACATTGAGCTCATATTTTATTGTATTATTATTATTATTCGATGCAAATAATGATTCTAAGGGAGAAGGAGCGCTTGGTTCTTCCTTAAACAGAGTACAATGAGAACATTGCGTGGGTGGATTGAACGAACCTGTTTCATTCCAGGTAGTAAAGAGAATAGAGGTAAAAGGTTAGGATTATTCAGCAAGAAGGACTGTATCCATTCATTGCCAATACCAGGAGTCACTGCTGAAGCTGCACCGCTACTATTAGCAGCTGTAGCTGCTTGCTGTTGTGTCACCTATAACAGAATGATTACTCTACATCTACTTCTAACGAACGCACCATTTGTTTTAGCAATAATTGGGCAACGTTAGTTGTTTCAACTTTTTTCTTTGGCTGTTTTGGAGGCGGACTACTGAAGTTACTACTTCTATTTATCAATGAAGCTCCGTCCTCCGTCTTAAGTTCGGCCTGAGCGAGAGAGCCTGGTGGACGATTACTGATGGCAATCGCCCGGGCATCACCAGGGTGTCCCGTACGTAGCATGCTGAAAACCGAAAATGGTTGAAAATTCTACTGATTGAAAAGCAATTCGGACATGACCTTAGACGAGAACAAATCTCAGTTTAATTGTTGATCATCGAAAACAAAAAAAATTCGAAAACATACCTGTTGTTATGTGCATGAAGCTCCTTCTTGTCAGGGAAAGTCCAGTTACAGCATCCACAAGTAAAAACACGTGTGATCTGATGATTTACTGCCATATGGCGACGAACTGTCTCGTGTGCTGAAACAAAAGCTTTTAGCAGTTTCAAATTTCTACTAAATCAATCGTCAGACATTTGAGTTAAAATGAGGGAGAACATAACGAATGGAGCAGAAGAGCAGAGAAAAGCTGACAACAAACTTATATTGATTCAATCAGCACATCCTATATATGGGGAAGAAAAAAAGCTATCTTTCGCTCACGACTGACAAGTTTTTTTGTTGATTGAAGTATTTACCTGCGATTTTAACATTACAAAGTTGGCACTGTTGATCATCCCCATGGAAATTTAAACGATGACGATTTAGTGATGCTGCATGACAGAAAGTTTTGCCACAATGTCCACATAAAAATTCTCCTATAAAATGGGATAATGAGTTACGAAATACAGTCATGTGTTACCTTTAAGGTCAGGCCTCTTAAGCTCAGCTTCTGGTCTATAAGGCATAGCTATCAAGAGGTCTTCCAAATCACTGAAAAGCAAAAGCTTAATAACGGAACAATATATGTTTAAGCAAAAGAAAATAAACGAAAATGCTGATTAATCAAATAGGAAAAGTTGAAGATGAGGGAGAACGTACATACAGAGTATGTTCTAGTTCGGAAAGATAAGACGAATGGTAAAATCAGCTGAAGCAATCGCGTTAAGATATGGCAAACTTGAAAAGACAAGACCAAAACAAAAACTCAAAGACCACTTAAAGAAACTTTGAGGCTTGCATACTATTGGAGGAGAAAAGAAAAAAAAAAGAAGCGAAAAGTTTACAGTAAATACATAAATGGAAGTTGTTGAAGAGCAGTAGCAGACAGGCAGTCCTCCAAGTTAGCCAGGTCGCTGGCAGAGAAAGACAAGTTATTCGTATGCTAGTTGTGCTGCTTCTCTTTTTCGATGTTGCTATGTTTCTTTCAACACTATTACCAACATTATTGTCGTAACTATCAAAACGACAACGATACTCGAGGTTCCAGAGAGTGGAAGACCCTCTCATCGTCATCTAGCTAGAAAGGCAACACATACAAGCACACATACACACATATTAAAGACAACTGGTATTCAATATTATTGTCACAAATACGGTCGGGCCAAGCTTGTTTCAAAGCAGAAAAATTTGCCAGAAAGATTCAGCACCACCCAAATGTTTCCCGCCAAAAAATAACATATAGCTTTGGCAGCTGGACATGAGGAGCGATTTGCTTGGAGTAAAAGTTTGCGTTTATGAGAGAGGCAGCAAGAGGAGAAATTTCAACGAAGGAAGTGCAATGAAGATAGGAAATGGTATAATGAAAAGAAAGAATGAAGAAGATGTAGAAAAAGCAAAAAAAAGTTTGACAAAAAAGAATGAAAGCTGAAGAATGATTGTACGCATGATGAAGAAAGCAGTTGAAGCAGCAAGAAATAATGAATAATTCTTCATAAATGTTGGGAAAACTTCTAACTGTAAAAGCTGAACGACCTATATAAGGCGAGGTCGAGGACGGACTACCGTCCAGCAATCAGTTCATCCCATCTGAGGACCTTAGGTACGGCCTCAGTATGTAGATGAGACCGTCCAGGTCGACTCGATATGCGGGAATGAGCTGGGAAGTGGGCGGAGCGTTATTTCTCTGATGCTGCGCAGCTCTCGCCAACCCCCTAAATACCTTACTTGACAATGTTGTCAATACTGCAACTAATCGTGGGTCAAGCTAAAATCGAGGGCATTAAACTACAAAGTAAAATCCAAAAGCTCACAATAGTTATCAGACAAAATTGAACTGCAAGATTTGAACTTTGATCGGGTCAATAGCTTACACTATGAAGAAAAAAAACTGCGCATATTGATAAAGAACAAGGATTGTGTAAAAGGACTGGGTTTGTATGTGTGTGTGTATGTGAAGAAAAAAAAATAGTTGAGATTTGAAAGTTTCTAATTTGAACTATCTTTCTTTTTCTCTCAGCCTCTCTTTTTTTGGCAAAAGGTCTTCGTGTTTCCCAAAAAGCCGCAGCTTGTAAAAAACACAAGTTTGGATCGCCAATCGAGCGGCAAAGCAAAAGTGTGAGTTTAAGGAAGTAGGTAGAAGTCAATCAAAGGTCGCAAATACAACTAGAAATTCTTGATTTAATTGGCTAGAAGCAGACAGTACTTCACTAAATAGACCGCCGTCAATGGAAAAGATAGAAAGAGACGGGAAACGGACAGTTGCATCGAGAAGTCAGTACAAAAGTGTTAAAGATTACTCGTTATTTATGCAGAGGAAAGCAAATCATGCGGGATTATGTGTCACTGAAGTTGACATTTACGAAAGAATGGGTAAAAAAGTGAGAACAAAACATCATTTGCTTCATGAAACAGTTTGGAATGAAACTTGCCATTGCCTTGTGTGTTTTGCTTTAGTTTTTAAGTAAACACTGATGTTTCCAGAATATATAAAGTAATTCTAATGGATGGAAATGTATTAGGTGAGGAAAAAGCTTGAAAGAAAATGTCAAATAAGGAAAGTTGAATGAAAAGCTCAACAAGTGAAGTACAATAATGGTTTCAGCCTATTGATGACAAGTCAACGGAGCGAGAGAACTGAACAAGAGGAGTGAAGGAAAAAAACAGTTGCACTCGGCACACATTCATATAATAGCTAAGAATAAATTGGACAAATGCTAACAAAAAATTTGAACAACCAAAAAAGGTAAATAGACGATGGAGAAGCATAGATATGGAAACATCAAATGCCTTGAAATTTTCTTTAAACTTGGCAATGAGAACGATCGCACAAAAAAAAGAATTGTAAAAAAATGGTTTGAGAGAAACGGATGGTCAAGCAGAAGCTTCTGTTGCATTAAACTCTGACATTCAAGCACATGCCCACATACGAGAGACAGTAGGAGGTGAGAGATGGTGGATTGGGGGCGGTCCATGCATCCTTCTACACGGTGTCTCCGTAATTACTCCTTCACATTCCCATATATACAAAAGCTGCGTCGACCCGACAGCGAGGTCAAAGCTCCATTGTGAGACCGTCACCAATACGAAAAGAAGAAGTATCGATTGGGCCGCTGGCGATTGTTCCGAATAACCATCAAGACTTCGACCACATTAGCAGCTATTAAATAGTTCAACTTCTTCGCTTTCTGTCTATTCCCGCAAACACACAAAAAATAGAAGTTGATGGTGGGCGAGACTGAGAAAGAGCGCCAGATATAGTACCTCCGGTGGGCATTTGGTCATGAAAGCTGTAATCTCGCAATCACTAAGTCAACTCGTTTGCCCTTGGCATAGATCCAGCGGAATCGGAGCGTTTCTGCCAATGGCTATCGCCTTCATCAATCATGACGGTTCTAAGCTAAGGGCAACACTTATGATTAAGAGGTTTACCTATTTTGATTGTAAACTCAAACGGTTGCGGCTTAATCTAGCTTTTGGCTATGGGGAAGCTGAGAAGGGGCCAAAACTAAGAAGCGCTCAGTATAGGAATCTTATTTTTGGGCGGTTAAGTGCTTATGAACATAGAATGAGAGAGAAGAATAAGAGAATGACAGTCACGCAGACATCAGATCAGGATGAAGTAGCCAGCTGGCTGGTGGCCGGCGCTCACCGGACAGTACGAATACTCTTCCGATCGCTCTCTTCTCTTCTCTTCCAGAATTATGAAAGAGCTTGCCGGAGTGACAAATAGGAACATTTGAAAATATGAAGCAATTTCATGAAGATGCTTGCAAAGAAACGAACGAGAATTGGCAGGGTTTATGTCAGTACCATGAAGGCTAAAAGTAGCTACTATTATCTAAAGCTGTGACGGCCTTGAACGGGCCGAGGTCAAAGCTGTATTGTGGTGGTGCTGGCTGCGTAGGGAAATGGTGGAAAAGGGGTAGTGGAAAGAGAGAAAGACACAGAAAGAGAGCAAAAGTAGCTATTGTGCCGGCCTCCCGACGATATTGCTAGAGACTGTAGAGAAGTGATGATCGAGGACAGAAGAGAGAGGGGAGTAGTGGAAGAAAAGTTCGGAAAACAATTTGAACACGCACGAAATACAAATTTCCAAAGTTGGTAAGCTTAGTGTTCTGGTTGGTGAAGAAACTGAAAGGAAATCAGGGAGAAACGCGCGGTTGCAGCAGTCAAGAAAGAAAAATGTAAAAAAAATAACTTCACAAAAATAATAAAAGTACAATACCATTGAAGGAAGTGTAAAATAAAGTGATAAAGAAAAGAAACACAGCGAAATCAACTCATTCCGACTACTGAGGCTTGTCAAATCTGTATAACAGTATTTTGTGCAGAAGCTCGCTACCGTACCAGCTTCATGGCACCATTTCAAATTTGCATTGGAGCGCAACTAATTTGCGATGGTTCGCGCATTAAAATTAAAACTGTAGCGGCTCGTAAGTATTTTGGATGGACTCAATCCTTTTCAGAGGAATTTTCTTTATTGCCTTTTGTTACCAGCTGTCATTTAAACATAGAATACAAGGCTGGAAGGAGGGCAATATTGGAATTGCAGAACAGCCTTAACGGTAAGGTCTATTTTCTATTTGCTATTGCTTATGAAGCTCGATTCAGATGGTATGATTAAACTTATACTTTGAAAAAAACTTAAAGAAGAAGAAAGAAAGAGAATAAAGCAAAAAATATGCGAGGAGTAACAGAGAGAATGATAGAAATTATGGTTGTTGGTCTTGTGTGAAGTTGACGAAGCTAATTGGACAGTAGCCAGTAACAGAACGAAGCTATCTGTCCGGATAGATAGTAGCACAAATGATGTTGCTTTGTAGTTGCGATTGGTGATAGGTGAACGAACGGAGAGAGGTAACTAGAAAAAGAGAAAAAATAAAAAAAAAGATAGAGGTGTAGAACGCTGAGAGGTAATAGATTGTTGGAAAAGGTAGTGATGAACAACGAAAGGGTGGCGGTATCGTTGAGAAGGATGGCTGGGGTTAACCGTGGTGCGAAGACTGCCGATTATGGGAAAGAAAAAGGCCAAGAAACATATAAAATAGTACAGAAATAAAGAGAGAATGAGAAAGAGAATAACATGGAAAAGACGAAGTTTGAAAGACGAAGTGATGGAGTAAGCTGACTGCTATTTGGGCTGTGAATTGAAGATGGCGAAGGGCTACGACATCGCCATCAACGTCTTCGGTATTTGAAGTAAGTGGAGGGCTTGGGGGGTGAAGAAGGGACCTCAGCTGAAGGTCAAAGCTACCAATAGCGAAATATTGATTAGAAGACATTAAATCGCTTACATCTAATGATCATACTGGTCATGGTTACCTGTATTAGATGAAAAAGTTAAGCATTGAACATGATGAAGGGGGAACAGAGAAATAAAGAAACAGAGAGAAAATGAGATTTTGATAAAAGCGATTACGTGATTGATTAGCTCTTTTTTCGTAACTAAGTTTAGGCTTGATGATTGGCCAACTTATGCGAGGATGTGTATAGTAGTGTTAGCTGTCATAACTAGTTTCAGCAGTGT